GGGGGGGCCTGTGTATCATAAGACAGCTCTGCAAGGTGTCTCACGCCATTCACCCCTTCAGGGGGCTCCCTGGATTGGGAACTCGGCATGCCAAGGGCAAAGATGCCTTTAACGCTGCACACTCTCCTCACTCGCCTTCCTTCTTCTCTTCCTCGGCCTTCACAGGGAGTCGAAGTCAAGGCTTGCGAGTGGGAAACGCCGCGGCCTCTGGCTTCTCGGCTTCGCCTTCTGCCTTCTCCTCTTCGGCTTTTCCCTCAGCCTGAGCCAAGCACGTGCTTCGCTCTGCTTCGCCTGGCCGAGCCCTCCCCTCCCCGTAGCCGTCGCCTTTTCCTCGCCATCTTCGTCTTCACCCTCTCCCAGCTGTTCCTCCTCATGGGGCCGACAGTAGGAGCCACGGCAGGCCACGTTGGCACGTGCAGACAAGTGAGGCCAGACTCGCAGTAAGCCCCGCGCTTTCTCTGCAGCTTCCCGTGCCGCCTGTGCTGCTTCCTCGGCTGCTACTGCAGCCTGGCGGGCCTTTTCGTAAGCCTGGAGCAGCTCATGGTCCCAAGATGTCCCAAGAAGCGGCTCGGAGAACCTGTCTGAACATGGCCCGGCCTCCACAGGGATTCCCTTCGCGATCAGCTCGCGGTGCTTCACTGCCTCCACGGCCAGACCGAGCATCTGAGTCTCGCTCAGCTCAGAGACATCGTACGGAGTCGCTAACTTACTGGCCCTGAACCGAAATCCCAAACCCAAAACCCTCAGCCTCACATGCCACTAATTGGCCACGTGGTTGTTGATGGGGTTTGCAGGTTCGGCAGGGGTTCGGGGTCTGGGTCTGGGGACGATGTCACTCCACAGAGCATGTCTGCGAGCCAAGCCTTCAGCCTGAAGCCCTGACTGAGCCTTCAGCTGCCCATAAATGCCCATAAAGCTCCAAAGACCAAAGCCGAAACCCCCCAAGCCCAAGCTCACCGTCGTCACTCGCTGGGCAACATCTGCAGGGAGGCCGCAGCTGCGAAGGTCCACACCTGCACCGAAACTCGAGGAGGGAGGGGGGGCCGAGGAGAGAACATCTCGGCGTCCCTCTGGGCTTCCCACGCAGCAACGAAGGACTCTTGGCCAGGCAGCGGGCAAAGACAGCGAGCTGGCCAGAGACTTGGAGACCTGAAATCTGCGCTGAGCACAACATTGAATGACCTTGCGCGTATGAACAGTGATGGATCCGAGGAGTTGACAACTAAACCGCCACACCCTAAACCCTAAAATCGTAAACCCCCCAAAACCCCCAACCGCCCCACAAACCCAAACATTGAGGCCCCCAACCTACAACCTTTCTAACCAGAAAACCCTAAAATAAGGGGTGCCTTCCAAAGGATCATCTTCATCCAATGGCTTCGTGGCATCTAAGGCCTCGGAGGCGACCTGCTGTGCTTCACTTCGGGTTTCCAGTTTCGGGCTCGGGTTTCGGGTTTGGGATTTCGGTATAGGGTTTAGGGTTTACGGCAGATAAGTTGTAGTAGTTTTGGGCTTTCGGGCTTAGGGTTTTAGGGTAACGAAAGATCCCTCTGACAGGGTTGGGGGTTTTGGGGTCTTCTACCGGCGCAGAGCTCAGGATCTTGGTGTTTGGGGTGCAAGCCAGGGTTGAACCTTCTACAGTTCTGAGGGTTTGCAGATTTAAGGCTCGCAGGGTTCGAGAGGTTCAGAGGGCTTTAGGACTTAGACTGTTGAGTTTGGCACTCCTTCGCGGCGGCATTCCATGTGCAAATCCAACGCTGCTCTGACAGGCTCGAGGATTCTGGAAGTTGGGGTTAAGAGGGTTTTCTGATTTGGGGTTTTCCGTGCGCAGGCTCTCGGATTCAGGGCTTGGGAGGCTCAAATCTAAGCTTCAGGGTCTCTGGTACTTGAGCCCTGGAACCCTTAGTCTTCTCGAAAGATCCCTGGCACCTCCGAGCTGGCCAGGGGAGGAACCGACTCGCCGGCTGCACCTCTGCTCGGTAAGTCCAGAACAATTCTTTTGGGGGTTCGGGTTTCGGGCATTGGGGGTTGAGGATACGTGCTTTTGTGTGTGTGTGTGTGTGTGTTGTGTGTGTGTATGTGTGTGTATGTGTGTGTGTGTGTGTGTGTGCGTGTGCGTGTGCGTGTGCGTGTGCGTGTGCGTGTGCCTGTGCGTGTGCGTGCGCGTGTGTGTAGATGTGCAACCGCGTGTGTGCGAGTCTGCACGCATGTACATATACAAACCGTGTGTATATATGTTGGCATATATTGTATACATGTATGCACACACATACACATACATATATATATACACACATGTAGACACATATTGTGCATGCATGCAGCATTCATGTGTGCACGTGCTCACATGTACTTTGTGCATCATGCATTTTGCGTGTGAGCTGCATCGTTGCACTCGTGTGGATCTGCGTGTGCGCATGTCTTGCTGCGAGCATGCACTTCTTTACTTTGGGAAAGCTCTCGTTCACAGAAGAACAACGTGCATGGCCAGCGGTTCCTTGTCGCTGCAATGTTGCCAAGTCATGCATGCGCGTTTCCGTCATTCCCGCGTGCCTTGATGAACTCCTTCTTCTTCAACTTGATGGAGCCTTGCGTTACCGGGCAAAAGCACACTAGAGTGACAAAAAACAAGACACTTCAGGAGCAGAGTCGTGCCCAACGGTCGACAGTGGATTGAATAGCCTCTCACCGCCGGTCTTACCTACAGAAGATGTCTCCTTCCAAGCATGCGGCGAAGACATTTAGACAAGGTCAAACTGAGATTGGCACGAACTGCTGCAGGATCTTAGGAGCTGGCGGATTTGCACTGACGTCCAACTCCAACAAGGTGCCGTTCTCAGCCAGCCTCATCACTTCTGAAAACACAACAAGGCCACCTACCACGGCAGGCATGAGCATGCAACGAGGCAGGCCGACAGCGCCAGTACCGAGCTGCAGACATTGCATTTAAGTAGGGCAGACATCTCACCGTCAAGTCCTTGGCTTTACAGCCCAGCACAACAGGCGCTTGCTGCACTCCATGCACGATCGGAGCTGAGACGATAAGGCACACGCATTGCAAGCAATGTTCAGGGTTTGCAGATGCTTGTTCACACACATATCCTCCCGCCAAGCAGTGGTCATGCAGACTGAAACACCAGCAAGTCTGCGTGCAGCAAGCGCGACTTCTTCAGTAATGTACCTGGGCGATGGTAATGCAGGGATGGCAGCAGACTCGGGGATGTACAGACTAGTAAGACAAGCGTAGTCCTGAAACAAATGCGACACGCCGTTGTCTTCGCAGCGATTGAGTCGCAGGTTAAGCACCTGACGCTAGCCGCGGAGGCGCGGATGTGCCGATGACACGACATGGCCGATACCATGTCTGACACTACGAGCCCACACCTGGCACGTGATATTCTCCGCCAGGTGGGCACCTGGTCGACAGACAGAGTCAGAGCCGGAATACAACCGGTCGCCCCTTACTTCGAGGCAGTGGCCCAAATGCATGCAACCATTGGCATGGATCTGGTTGTCGCTGAGGTCCAGGGCCTCTGCAGAGGCCCGTGGCTTTGGCCTTTTCCTCTCAATGAAGCCCTCCCCACCTGCAAGCAGTAGTCCGGGTCCAGTAAGGAGGCCAGGCGTCTCGCCCCCCGATCCCCTATCTTGTTGTGGCCTTGGCGCCGGAAAGCCTACCGACCTGTGCTTGCTGTATTGGAGCGGCAGCTGTTGGCGCTTAGGATGGCACTAAGATCAAGGTGTGTGAGCATGTGGCCGTAGGAAAGACCACCCATCAACACCTGGCTTGCAAAGATCAGGGTTTAGGGTTTAGGGTTTAGGGCTTAGGGTCCTTGATCATCCGACTTGCCGATTTGACGGAAACAGCTCGATCTTATCTTGCTTCTCTTGACGAGCTTTCAATCTGCACTTCCGGTGGCAAAGAAACAACTCAAACTCATGACCTCTTGCCCTTGCTGTGCATCGCCAACTCCAAGATCAGAGGGATGGGACTATGGGAGAGGGGTGGAGGAGGGTGCACACAAACATAATATCATACATGACAGACAGACCGACAGATAGACAGACAGACAGATAGGTAAACAAAAGATAGATATATTAGACACATAGACATAGTGTGTCCCCATCTAGAACCCAAAATAGCCATGCGTGGCTTGCACTCATTGCCCAACTGAAACAAAACAGAATCATCATCATCGTCGTCCTCGCGCAAGTCAAAATCCCGATTGCTGGAGGTGCGGTTGTGGACAGCGCTGCGGAAACCAAAGACACGGAGAAGGAGTGCCATGCGTGTGAGGGGCAAGCGGGAGAAAGACTGGCAAGCAAGACCCAGAGACTATCATAACAATGCCCTAAACCCGAAACCCTATCAAGAACAAAAGTCCATGGAGCTAAGGAGGGAGTCCGGAAGAATGGCTTCGAAAGAAAATAAAAGCAGACTCGGCCAAATGTCACGGTTCCTGCCAAAACAGGCACCACTTTCTTCATGTTATATTAGTTATATTCCTTCTATGCACGGTGGAGATCATCTTCATGGAAAAGAATCAACCCGTCCAACCCAATGACTGCTTTCGCTTCTGCTGTCTCGGCGTTTTTGCCTGTTCGAACGCATTTGACACGATGGGACTACAGCACCCCTTGGACGAAGAGTATCAAGAAATCAAGACGAGGGCTTGATGCGGACGCTGCTCATCTAATTCGAAAACTGCCTCGCACCTATGATTGCTGGAGATGACTTGAGCAGGGATCATGCCCACACAGACGAGGACACTCACCGCCGCCTCTCATTCCGATATCCCATTCCACTACGGGCCTTCACAAGCTCGTCATCGATCATGTTGCACCTAGAAGCTGTCCCAGAATATGCATCTCCTTTACTTGCGACATCTTGCTGAGCCTTTACTTGCGACATCTTGCTGAGCTAAGCCCTGCGCGGCAACGAGAGTGAAACCAAAGTTTGCGACACGCGAATGTCCCGGGCGAGATACTGCGCCTGCGTATAGACGGGCAAGCATGCCCACACGGGCCCATCATGAGAAGTGCGAAGCATTCATGAGTGCAGACAAGTACTGCTCCTGTGTGTGGAGCTCCATGAATGCATCACACGACAGCACCGAGCACACGGCGTCTGAGATCTTCATGCCGAACATCGCACGCTCGTAATCCATCCCCAGTCGCTTGTTGCCGTAAGTAATCGAGAACGTACACCTGAAACGCAGACTGCCGTACGGCGCACAGCGAGGACCAAGCCAACAAGAAGCACGATGTCTGGCGATGCGGCAGCGCAGGCAATGCATCGAAGATGAAGCTTAGATCCTGCAGCGAGAGATGCGACAAGGCAATGAAGCACCCAAGTGGACATCTGAGCTCAGGTCCAAGTGGGAGGGGAACTGAGTAATCTGGAGTTGATAGACGTACAGCCTGCCAAGGGATCGGAGGACTCAATGACCCGCTCCAGCATGCGACAAGCACAAGACGAGGAATGACCTTGAAGCCATGACTTGCTGCTTGAGCGCTTCGAGCTCGGGATTCCCATACCTAAAACCATGAAATGTCAAACGTTCAAGACAACGGATCTACCTGGCTCGGCCGCCAACTTCTCAATCTCAATTGCGCCAACGTGAAAGATCGAAAAGGCAAGCCAGAGCCGACTGTGTCTACACGGCTTGTCCAGCATGCTAAATCAGACAGGGCCCCGGACTCTACGGTGATGGGCACCCGCTCCAGCGCCTCTTGCAACTCTATCCTCAGTCGGAAACGAATCCATCAGTGCGATGTGCAAATCACTCGAAACAGCTCGCTTTCGTTGTGCCTCCGCTGAACTACATCATGCTTCCTAACATCAGGCGCTCAAGGTGCGTTTCGCTCTAAAGCTGGGCACTGCAGCTAGAGGCTGGAGAGGAACTCTGCCATCTTCACCAGGCTCGACTGGTAGAAAATCTGCCCAAACTCTGAGAAAGCAGCTCCAGGTAAGTCTGCTTCCAGGACATGCCATGCCTCGGCGTAATAAAAGGTGGCGATGGTCGTAATGCGTAACGGCCAGAGCGGTGATGCTGACGACGATGATGGTGATGACCGTCCGTGGTGATGACGACAAGGAAGCAGACGACTATACTGATGAAGAGAGTGAAGATGATTACTAGTAGGATGGTGCTCACGATAGCAACAGCAGATGTGGTGTGAATGTTTGGAGGACCAGGAATGGAGCCCTGGCGACTGAAATATGTCGCCAATAACTGCCATACTCATCATTGCTCAGGCTTCACCTGCTCACATCTTGACACCCTCTCGTGGATAGTACAGTGTAGAACCTCGGCTTGCTGTGCTCGTCAAGGACCTGGCCCTGCCGATGTCGACTACACCCATGTACTGTTGCTGGCCACAAAGGTGCGTGGCTGTTTCCCGCTGTGACATACTGTATGTAGACATGTAGATCGCTAGACAGATCGCTATCCACCAACATAGACAAACTGAGATGCGCTGACATGGCAACCCGAACCCGCAAACCCCAAACACTGAAATCTACGACCCCGTCTGAGACTCTAAAGCCCAAAATAGGAACCTAAAGACCACAACTGAGAGAAAGCTCCCCGGGGCCGCCACTTCTCAACCTGTGCATTCGGGTGCTTCGCCTGGCAGCTTCGACAATGACACTCTGAACTTTGGGTATGGACGATTTTTTTAGCGGCTATAGGGTGTCGTGTTGACGGTTGAGGGATGCATGGATCGCCAGCTGAATCGAGACCATCTGCTTGGATCATTGCAGTCATCGGCGCTATGACCGTTCTGAAGAATATCTTGCCATTGCTACCGCGTCCTCCAGGCTTCCTCAGCATCACTAAGTGGGCATTGGTATGACAATGACTATGGAAAGGCATTTTCCCACCTGCGTCCGCCTCTTCCAATAGTTTTCGTCGTTGATCCTGCAGTCATCGCACTTGTCATGAGCCCTTCTCGGGCAGACATCACACCTCCGATTCTCCTTGGAGGTTCAGTCGCCATCCCGACTCGGTTTGGTTTCGTCTCTTGGAACCCGAAATCTCCCAATCTCCGAAAGCTCCGAATGTCCCACGGGCGGTCCTAAGAGCAGCTTCTGGAAGGGGCATGTCGAGGTCCAGCATAGCATAAACATCCTCTTCAGGCACAGTATCAATCACAAGAGATATATCAAAGTCCTGATCCCCATCAGAGTAACCAGCTTCGTCTCCCTACTGTTGCAAAGCACATGCCGTGCCGCATAGCTCCTCCAGCTGCTTTCGCCCGAGCTTGGCGTGCAAGTTGTCATATTCTCAGCTTCAAGAAGCTGTGTCAAAAGACTCCGAATCACAGCTGCATGGCAATCATGGTAGGACGACACCTGTGCCATCCAAGTCACTGTCTTGTCTCTATCGAATTAGAACATCAACAGGTCATGCTGAACAACAGTAAGAGACGAGCAAGGCAACGGGGAACTCTAGCTTCATCTACTTGTTGCACCGGGCTCTGGGTGCCACCAAGCGGCGCAAGAAGTTCTCTGCCACACGCTGCAAACAAATTTGCACCAAACTGCGAGGCCGCACCTTGACCTGTGCGCAGAAGCTAGAAATCGGCGAAGGGTCAAATGATGGTGGCCAGTCGCAAGTGCCCGGAAACCTCACAGTACTCGCAAACCGTCCCAGGCCTTCTCAAGTGCTCGGAATCGGATGTTCTTCGGCTTCAGCATGGCATGCAGCCTTGAAGAGAAACTCTATAGCCAGAAGCAACAGCCTTATCGGCATTTCTCAGACCATGATTACTACAATCACTACGGTTACTTGTTCTTCGTAGTATTGCGATTATCGTCGTTGTCACTACTAACTAGCACTACCATTATCAGAAAAATTGCGAGTTTTTCGACCATTACGACTATTGCTATTACTATCACTGCTGTCTTCACTGCAAGGGTTCTTTTCAGCAGAGACTTCAGGTCCCCGGGTCCCGCACCTCTCCTCGGGACCGTTCGCTCCGATCCTCCTCCCTCCGAGCCGACATGAAGCGACGGAAAGTCGTGCTTGCTTTAAAGTTCTAGGGCCGAGAGGCTTTGGGGTTTAGGGGTTTGTGGGTTTGGGGTTCTTGCGATTTGGACGTCAGCTGTAACCGATACCTCCATGCTTTGCCATCCGTCTTTGTGCTCGGCTGCTGCGCTCGCTGCCGGCCACCTACTTTGGGCCGATTGACATTGCGTCGCGTCGCTGGGTCACGTCAGCTCACTTTGGCAAGTTCTCCATGAGGGGATGGTAGCCTGAGAGCCAGAGGAGAACTGCAATGCAAGTCGCCCTCGATTTCCTCCTCCCCCGTCAACCCGTTGCCATGAAATACACTCTCAATGGACTCCCAGACAACATTCAAATTTGGCAAGGATGCTTGGAAGGTCGGACAAGGCGGTGGTCTTGGGCTCCTTGTCAATCCTGGCAAGATCATTGGACCTCTTGCACGGCTAAGCCATAAGGTGTGCCACACTCTCGGTGCCTGAACTTGCCCCACCGGTGTTTGTCAGCGAGCCGCTTCCTTGGAATGTATCTGCATGAGACTTCAACACACTCTGGCTCTACCAGCCGCTCCTCCACGAGGAGGTTATCCAAAAAGCAAGGAAGGCAAGACATAGTGTGATGTATCAACATTCTGTTCATCCAATATTCACAGCACGCCAGTTATCACCGGTTTAATCGAAAGAAAGCCGGGCTTCTTCTTTGCTTCTCTCTGCTGTCGTTCGTCCCAGGCGTAGATCAGCATGCGGCCTCAGCTCAGGTGCGAGCTTGCCTCCGGTCATACATGTATGCAAACAAAGCCATGCGTGTGTGTGTGTGTGTGTGTGTGTATGCATCTACGTACTTGTATATACACAGAAACTACACATAAATGTATACTGTATACATGTTTATACGTATATCCTGTCTTATGCGCTTTGGTGCCAAATTTATCGGTCTTTATGCTCTACGCACTAAATGCATTTGTATGTACGATGTACACATTGGCCGTTAGCAGCATGCACAGAGGCGTGCATGCACGTTACAGGATTTTGTTGCATGCATGCATGCATGCATGGATGGTATGTATGGTATGGATGTAGGTAGGTAGGTGGGCAGGCAGAGCAGGTAAGTAGGTCGGTTAGGATACGATCTCGTGGTATTTTTCGTTGCTGAACAGGCCACCTGGAAACCGTTTGCCTTGGACACGATGACACTAACAACAGCTGCTATTGCGCAGCATCGCAACATTGAGCCGGGTTAAGGTTGATAGAAGGCTGATGATCATCCGACAGTCAAGCAAGTTGCATCGCTCGCCGATCGCGCCGAATGCAGAACAGACTAAGAACACAGCACCGCACAATTTCACGAGAAGCCTGACACTGGCAACAAAAAAAGAAAGGACACAGAATTCCGCTCCAGATCTGAAAGAATTGAATGCAAATACCTCGGTGGTACTAGGAGCCGCGACGGTAGCGCTCCGCCGAAACTTCCCGTGTTTGCCTCCGGGTGACCTGAAGCATCTTCTCTCAAAACAGAGCACTGCGACCATCCGCAAATAGGATATCACTGGAACTCATTGCCTTTCTGCAGGGCTCCGCTGTTTTCATTCTGCGGAAGTTCTGGTGCCAAGGCACATGGTATGGACCAGGAAAGATGTATGGTGGCAAGCGCGCCTGAGCGGTGGAGCGGGTGACGTTTTGATGTTCACTCGCCTCCTTCCTCACCATGCACATTCAGAACCATCTGCAGCAGGTACCGAGATAAATTGTGTCAATGCATGTGGAGCCTCCTTGCGCTGCATCTGATACCGTCGTCGCACAGCTGCGAGCTCTCGGCGAATCTTTGGCTCCAGAGACCTTCATAAAGTGAAATCGAGATGTTGATCCATCCGTGGTATCGCCATAGCCGAAGAGAGAGTCGCTTGCTTGCGAACAAGGCACATGATGCCAGGCCGCTGAGGTGTATGAAATCGCCAGCGGAGGCGCTTGCCCCATGAGTACTTGCCACCTCAAAACATGGGCCGATACTGAGATGACACGGGATCTCCGGCTGAGCCTCTGGCGCACAAAATAGTGCCAGGCATAACCTTAGCCGGCAAGCCTCCCTCGTGACGGCACTGTCCAACTATCTCTGCTCCTCGCAGCTTGGGAGCGGTAGTTTCTGGTGAATGGCCGCTTGTCCACATTCGCGGACCTGCAGATGCCACTGGAAATCCTACTAGCTAGAATGGAGACCCGAAATACCAGAACTCATAGAACGCTCCCGCCTTGGCTTCAGCGCCTGGATCACGCGAACCCCAAGCACTCGAGGCCTTGGACCAATCGGGGTGCATCCTTTTGCAAAACTCTGAGTGGTGACAGCTGGCATTAGAACACTGTGTGGCGCTGTGTCCATGCATTGCCTGACTCGACCAGAACCCCAGGAGCAAACCAAGAACGTGACGAGACAATACAAACAAGAGTCGTATTGTCTAGTTCTACTAAGAACTCCAACAGCAATGGAGGTAACTACGAACGACACACATGGGTCTCAAGGCTTGACTTCATGCTCGGCTCTCTGCGAATAGCGTGGGACCAGCTGCTCCACTCCGACTCCGTCGTAGGTATTTTTCAAGACCTCATAGTTGCGAGATTGTCGGATCTCCTGAAACCATAGACAGATCTGTATCCCAAGCCCCCGTCGAAGCCCGAGTTCAGGAACTTGTTCCGCACTTCGACGCAGAAGCCTCTGAGCGGGATGAGGGGTGCACTCCAAGAACAGCGGCGGTCCTTCAACAGCAGTCCCCCTAGCTCTTCTTGCCTTGAAAGACGGCGAAGGTTTGCTGGCTGCCTTGCGAGGATGCAAGCAAACAAGGCTGATAGCGGTGAGGCGAAGATGGTGTAGCCCGCTGGATGTTGGGAGTACGCGAACAAAGAAGCCGTCCGAACGGAGACACACTTCGGCCAAGCAGCGACTCAGCTCGTACTTGACCTCGACGAGATCACCTGGCCTTCAGTTTTGCGCAGAGTTGCACACTGACACTCCATCTTCTCAGGCAGGCATAGGCAGGCCTTATCTGAGGCATCGGAAAGGAACGGTGGCTCCTCATCTTCTCGATTTCCTGCTTTTGGGGTCGGGGGGGTATCTTCGTTGCTCTAACCCCACCTTTGTCTCTGTCCTGCTGATGCAGCTGGTGCATGATGTCCCGGCAGCGTTGTGGAGTCATTGGGTCACCAACCTGCCAGCTCTTCGCAAGAAGTCCGAGCAAGACGGAGAAGACAGACTGCCTGGTCCATCGGCGGCCACTGCCTGGGCTGCACGCAATGCACAAGCAACAGCAAGGGCCCTCAGCTTTCAAGACTCCCGAATCTCATGACACCTTCTTGTTCAAACAAGGCTGAAAGACACGGCAAGGGCATCTCAGCACTAAGCCAGTGCATGGTCAAGCTAGTCTCAGGACAGCACTTGCCAACGACGGGGCTATCCACCGTGAACACCTGCAGATGTACGTGACGGAATGCTTCTCCGGCGGCGGATCGTAGCAGAAACGTCGAGATGGGCCCCGCCTTTTCGCCCGCCTTTGAAGGCCGCGCACGCTCTCGCCTCACTGAATCAGGCTGAATCAAGATGACAAAGGCCTGCGGTTTACGGTATGCGGAAGTTTGCAGAAAGCCGGGCCTCCCTGAGAATCCGACAGCCATCTCCGAGCAATGGCACAGCTTCCCAGCGTTGGCAAACTGTCATCTTGAAGACTTCAAACAAGGGTCCCTTTTTTAGGTCCCCCAAAATTGTACGGCACCCTTTTCAAAAGGATCCTAAAATTAAAAGGTACCCAAAGAGAACTACCCATGTGAACTTTGCTGGCAGGCACTGAAACACCTACTCTTAGAAACCAGCAGTGGCCTGCTGCTGGTGCCCAAGGCATTCCAGAAACCGCCACGGCCTCAATCGCAGCTTGCAGTCATGAAGCAGTCCCCCGAGCCTGAATGGCAACCTAAGTAATTAAAGCAGTCATGGAAGCACAAAAGCATGAGCTGTGTTGATCTGGGAGGCCAGCGAACAAGGTGCCTGGAAGAAAGCATCACAATCAAACGCCCTTGAAACCGTTTTCGGTCGGATCCATCATTGCACAGTGAACTTGGTGACCACGTCCGAAGCTTCAGGCTATGGGCCCAAATGTACTTGGAGACGTCCTAAACTAAGTGTGTTTTCCCCGCGCTGGTCGTCCTGGTGAGCCAAGGCACAACGTCTAGAGGCGCTGTGACGAACCCCACATCGACAGGGTGCTCATCACCTTTCAGCAGGTGCAACAGGTGCAAGAGGCTTTTGTTGCACTGCGGATGCCGAACTCAGGCATCTCAGTTGTCCTGGCTCTTGTAGCCTAGACAACCTGTGCCGAATTAAGCACTCCACGCAACCGGTAGGCATGGCGACTTTAATTTCAAGCTTGTTTGTGGCACTCCGCGCATGCGCATTGGATTGTAGTATATTTTTATGCAGGCAGGTGGCCATGCTTCTGGGTGGTGAAACATCCTGCTTGCATCGATGGTTTGCCGATCCATGGAGAAGTTGAGCAAGGGTAGGTGCAAGGCCGGGAGCAATGCTGGATGTCGTGTTCGATCAAGCAGACTTGTCAGTACCTTCTCTACCTCTCCTCAGGACAGCGACCACTCTCACGATACCGGAGCAAACAGCGCTGGTGGCGACCTGGGCCCAGAGAAAACTCGGAGAGGACATCGCAACAACGGAAGCATGTGGAGAAACGAGCGGCAAGATACTGCAAGCCTAGGACAGGAGCAACGACTGCGGGAACACTGAGCCGTGCGATCGTGGTGACCTGGAATCAAGCCGTGACAAAGAGCACGCGAACACCATGAAATCCTGCTCCACAGCACGATGCGCAGCTGTGGTCGCTGCTCGACTGCAGGCCACTTCGGTCCATCGAATCCAAGGTCCGTGGGCTGCCAGGTGCAAAGCAATCGCATGCTTCATGATGCGTAATCACTGAGCAGCGATGTTTATTCCTGCCCCCCCGACCTTTCCAGCTCGACCGCTGGCTGGAGCGACCAAGAAGGTCTCCTGAGCCGACGATTTGTAGATCTTGTACACAGCTTTCGTCCGCTGTCCTGCGCCAGCTGCTCACGCAGACGGGATGGCTGCTCCTGACATGGAGAAGTCGGCGCCTTCCGACTTACGCGAAGAGGCAGAGGCCGAGCTCGAAATCTGAGAATCGCACGGGAAATCGGCTTGGCGAGCTGTGTGGGGCCATCGCCTGCATGCCAGGCGTGGCGAGGACGCGAAGTCTGCGCAGGAAGTAGTATCAAACAGAACTTTGCAGGCAACAGTCCTTCAAACACCGGCATCAAACTCCCAACTATCAAACAGCAAAGCGGCTCCGAAGCATGGATTGTCGGAGATCCCTTAAGCGGACTGGTGCCTTCGCATTCGACTTGCTCCCCTGCGTTTTAGACTTTCCCTTCAAGCCACCTCATGACGTACACTGCCCCAAAAACCCTAAAGTCCCTAAAGTCCCTAAAGTCCCTAAAGTCCGTAAAGTCCCTAAAGTCCTGGTCCTCCTCCACCCTCCGTGGAGATGCCCTTCTGGACCTGGCTCAGGGCTCGGAGCTACGGAGTACTTGGCCGGCGATCCGTCGCTTACCGTCCTCGGAGTTTACTTCAAGTGCCGTCTTGTAGTGTTCTTCCGTCTCCCTTCGTATCTACGAACCCCCTAAACCCATAATTACCTGTACTTTTTTTGGGGGGGTTCCTTAATCTACTTACAGTATAATGGGCTCCAAAACCCTAAACCCCAAACCAGTATGACAGTATGGGAGTTCTGCAGGCCCCGCCGAAGAAGCCCACAGGAAGCTGCGACCTGGCGCTCTTCGCTGGGCCAGCCGATCCTTGAGCTCTGCATCTCGGGGCTTTTTTGGGGGGGGTGCTTCAGGCTTTAGGGGCTTTACTTGGGGTTCTTTTTGAACGCCTTTTTCTCTCTCTGCTAGGCAACTTTTTTTTTGTGGGCCTTTTTCTGCAGCGAAGTTTCACAGAGTCCTCACAGGGCAGGCTAGTTACCGACCACAACCTGCACCGGAGTGGGCATTAGACCCCAGTGCTAGGCAACTTTAGGGTTTAGGGTAGGGTTTAGGGTAAGGTTTAGGGTGTAGGCTGTAGGTGCCAGCGCAACAACATGTGAAAACACCACAAAAAGTGAGAACTGAGACGGGGACTCAACGGCATCGCCTCTGGTGCCTCCAGCTGGCATACGCAAAATGCTCGATCCGGACACTATCGAGCTTTCAGCTAGAAGGCGCCTAAGAAAGTCCTGGCAAGCACTCACCCGTGAAAGGCATTTCACTGCATTCCAGCGCACGTGCCTTGAACCACTGGATGCCTTCTGCACATCTGTCCTCCATTCTACTGTGTTTTGTCACATCAGCGACCAGAAATCGGCATGTGAGCTCCACCTTCTTCTGATGTGAAACGAGGGGATCTGGGGTGCCCACTGGTGCCGATGCTTCTGACCTCGTTGGGCTCGGAGACCTGCCGTCTCAGCAGATTGCAGTTTTCTGCTTCGGATTTCTGTCCCACCGGGCCCTTCTTTGGACAGGATGGGATCCGAGCCCATCTCCTCCATCCATTCTAGAACTCTGTTAAAACGAATTCTCGAAGATCCTCGCCTGGCATACCCCGGCTTGCAGTGCATGGGCAGATCTCTCAGACTCTCAGATTCTGTCTGGTCGCGTGCTCACCAGCAGCTCACACACCCAAAGTCAAAAGCACCTTCAATGCTAGGTGCTATTACCAGCTAAACATCTCACATGGAAGGCTAGAAAGACACTCAGGCAGCAGCAAGCCCAAAAGCCCTAAAACCCTGCCCTAAAGCACCTGAAGCCCTGACTAAGCAGCAAACAACGGCCTCAACAGTGCCCTGCACACTCTTGTCGGGCATATGGTTTCGAGGTCAGTCTATGGGCCCTAAACCCTAAACCCTAAATCCTAAACCGATAGACTTTACACTGCGCGCCTTGTCGGGCTAGCTCGACCCCCATTGAAGTGCGCATGGGTCGTCGACTCCGGGGTGGCCGTGCTTTCAGAGTCGCCTCCCAGCAGTGGCTCTGGCAACACTCTTTGAGGGTTTAGGGCTTAGGGCTGGTTTTGGGCTGGGGGTTTAAGGTCTAGGGGAAGCTTTGATATTCCCAGTTTCGTTGGGCCGAGCAACGCGAAATGCAAAATGTGCCTCGCCAGAACGGGCAAGTGAAGAGCAGCGGCTTGGTTGGCTCCTATCCACAGCACAGTGTGCCAAGCAGCAGTGAACGCGGACGGAAGCAGATGAAGCAAGCCTATTACTTAATCCAGCACCAAAGAAGCCAGAGAACAGAATTGGGACACAAGCCCGCGGTGACCGCAGTGCCTTCGCAGCCTTTCCAGCTGCATCCCAGGCTGGCGCATCAGGCGACCTCCCACGAGCGAAGACCCTGAAGAACTGTAGAATCCACTCCACCTGAAATCCAAAAGCCTAAACCAACAGCCCTAAAGCTGCACGCGAAGCCGTAAAGCCGAGGCCCCAAACCGAAGCCTCGCCGATTGCTAGACAGGCTCCGCAGCCGTCCGGGAAAACTATGTACGAGCGTTCAGGTGACCAAACTGCTTCTCCTTCCCGTATTGGACAGCTACAGCAATTCCGAGGCTTGTAGCTCATCAAACGGAACTCCACCGCATCAGATGCTCCGCTTTTGGAAGCCCAGTGGAATGCGAGTGGATCTTGGAGTCCAGAGGTGACGTGCGTAAAATCAACATTGAAACTACTGCTGAACCTCGCTGATGCTGTAGCTGTGTTTTGATTAAAAGGCTCTTGGGCAAGGCAGCAATGAAAGGTCCAGGAGGTCAGATGGTCGGGTGCGACCGCCCTGACCCGCACAAGAGCCGGAAAGACTGCAGGGACTGGATACAATGAGTCAATGCTCGCATAGCAAGCGACCCTGAAGATCCTCCGACGGAGTGGCCAAAGGCATGGAAACAGGTTGCTTCCTCTTCTTCGGAGACGGGCCCAAATAGGTGGTAGCGATGACGGCTGCGACCAGACCACGAAGACCACGATGAAAACAGAAGGTTCCAGCAAAGCACGTTACAGGCATCTTGTGAACGTTGTGCATAGGAGCTGAGGAGACCCTACTAATATTGCTCCCAGGACAAGCCCTCCGCAGCGCTGAGGCCTGCCACGACGGAGGCCAGTGTCGCGCACACTGCCTGGGGGCACATGCGAGGGCACAAAGGGACAAGGGCCCCTCGGATTCCGGTTTCGAAGAGGCCGGGCGGCGGCCTCCCGCAAGGTGGAGGCCGCCGCAGGGGAAGGGAGCCGGAGCCGGCCGGCCGGCACGGCCTGTTTAGGCGGGACAGTCTGGGACAATGGAAACCCCCCCCCCGGATCCGCTGTCCTTCCATGCTCGTGCTTGAAAGCCGGGTGCGCTGTTCATGTAGCTCCTTCACGTGGCTACGACTGCAGCTCAGAGAAGCTGAAAAGCGAGGGCTTGACAAGCAACCTGAAGTGCGAAGCAGGAGCCTTCTCGTAGTTGAGGAGCCATGGTGCCCAGAGATCAGACCTTAACACTTTCCTCAACACTTGCTCCGTACAGAAACCTTTGCCCGAGTCAGTTCTGCTGGGGCAGCTGCGCTTTGTGCATGCTGCCAGCCCGTCCTTGTCATGCAACACAGGCCCTTGCTCGTGCAGATGCACTGATCACTATACTTGTGGAATCGCCCGGAATGACTTCTCAGGACTGAATGTCTTGTCTGCAAGCTCACATAGCAGCTGTTAGGGAATTATTCATGTCCTGTGTCGCAAAGCTTCTGCAAGAACTGCTGGCGATTTTGGTCATTAGCCTACTATGAAACGGCGGCTTGTGGCCAATTGCATGCGTTCAACCTCAGACTCAAGCTACGTCGCTGCTAGGCGCAGCTTCTTCCATGACACTACAGTATTGCAGCTGTCCGTGCGCTCTTCACTGTTGCGCGACGTCGCAGCTCGAAGATGACTCCAGCTGGCGTTCTGAAATTTGACATGCCCAGCAAAAATACCGGCTCCTACTCCCTTGCAGACCTTCATGTCGACATGCCGAGGCCGTCGCTTGAGTGCGGAGTCTCGGCACCTTTGCAACTCCCGACCAAAAGAGACCTCTCACCTCTCAGCCACTGAGCCGACTGCGTGCAGAGGGGAACTCTTCCTCCGGAGGCACCGAGACACACAGCTCGGGGCATGCAACTGCTAGAGGAGTGCGAGCACGAATCTGGTCCTGTGCACGGCACGGCGACAACACTGCAGCCATTCGTGATGAGCTTCTGTGGGTGGCCTGAGCCACTGGCAGCTACAGGTCTCGATCTTGCCCATTATCCCAGCACTCCCAGTCCGCGCTAATTTGTAGCACCGTAGCAACCTGTACCTGCAAGGTAGCTGTCTACCACACCATGTCAGCGAAGCGATGGCCTTGCTCCAGTCTAAATCCAAACACCGCATGTCCATGTCATCTGACAGGACCAGTTTCGCAAGACGGTCAGGCAATGCACAGCGGACGCAGTCTTGCAGCACAGCCCAAAGTACATTTAACAAGCAACTTGCCCTGCTCATCTTCATCTGCTGCCACTGGCTCTTCCACAGATGCGCTTACAGTAAATCCTGCTGTCTTGCCAAGCTAACCTTGAACCAACAGCTGATCGCTTGCATGAGCACAGCGTGAAACTCAAAGCTCTCGCTTCTTCATGCGGCGGGCAATGTCGAGCGTCGCCTGCAGCACACGAGGAAGCCATGCCCTGAGCCCCAGAATCCTCAAAAAGCCAACAAGCTACAGAAGCTGTTTTTGCGACATGTCGGTTCTTAGGAATCAGCAAACGAAAGGGGCAAAAAGAAACCCGAGCTACCGTACCACCGAGAAGAACACGCGTAGCAAAAGACTGCAGGCCCTTGGACACCCCGACATTTCCCGTCTTGAAACCTTCTTCGGCCGCAGCCACATGCAGCACAGAAAAGAAAGACTATAGCTCCAGCTCCCGAATCCTTTTCTTCCTTATAACACTCCACTGTTTCAGCCAACTTGTGCTCAACTCAAAGCTATGGGCAGCTCTGTAGCACAGTTCGAACGTCCAAAACTCTCCATTGGTGATATACCTAGTGACCTATTTCTTCGCCTCGGCCCTGGCCGAAGCCGTCAGCAACCCATCGCTTATGTGATTCTAACCGCGGAAGGGCCTCCATCTTCCGTAGTCCCACCGTCTCTGCACGCAGCACTCTCTTGACAAAAGCAACTCGAGCAGTTGCTGCTGCAGCCTCGGGCACATGAGCTTGGCCGAAGGAGTGCGCAAGTCTCAAAGCTACTCGTCAACACCGGGGCACTGCTTCGTCAAACTCTCCACGCCAAAGATGCGCTTCCTGATCCCACGGTTGACGAAAAATGAGGTGGTACAAACGTGCGGAGTGATTCGAAAACCCAGAATACGTGCCAGTTCAGAATCCCAGCGATTCTTGCCATTTGTGCCCAGCGTCTGCAGCAAGTGCTGCAATGCTGGACCCGATCCAGTGGGTCTGAGTGAATCACGGCAATCAGCAAGATGTACTGTAGGGATTAGAGGGGAATTGCACGCAGTCACGCATCAATCTCTGCTACCAGGTCTCATCCAGGCCGGGCGAGGGAGGTGGCGAATCACGCAAGGTGCGGTGCAGCGAAATCAGATCCTCAGCGGGCCAAATCGTGGCAGCATCGTAGGATCTGACAGTTCTCGCGCCGTGGCTTGGCGAGTCTTGCGGGACCAATTCGAGAAGCAGCTTCATGAAATGACATCACAGAGGAGTCGCTGTGACTTCCGAGCAAATTAAGAGAAGGTCTTAGAGAACTGCGCTTGATCGTGATCGTACAAGCAGCAATGGGGTCAGCAGTGACAACAGCATCGTCTGGGAATGTGTCGCCAGATCTCTTTTGGCATTGGAGGTCAGGTTCCGGTTGTGGCTTCGGGTGTTGCGAGGATGGGATGCCCCTGGCCGGGGTACAATAATCAGGGTAATAGGTTTTACAACGGTACTATGTTGTTTTTGTGTGACTTGCAGGCTTCTCTGCCGCTGTACTCCTTGCTCCCAGAACGAGGACAACAGAGCAAACCAAAGAAAAGACAGGAAGGGCCGGCCAAAACCCTCCAGATTCCTCGGCTCAAGTGGCTGTCATCCAATTCGCCTCCTTGCGCTCCGGCGGCCCGTCGCAGCCGCGCTGAAACTGAAGAGAGGCCAACTCCGCCTCTGTCTCCGCTTTTGTATGACCCAAAGGTGCATGTTGCTGAGCTCCACTGACCATTTTTGACAAGTTTCCCAAGTGGTACACCTTTAAGCCTTTAAGATGACCTTGCTCTGTGGATGGTGATGCTGGGCAGTATAGGTGCGACATGGTGCGCCTCAACTTGAAGCGGGGCCATTGCCTGAGAGTTTCAACATGCCCGAAAATGCCGTGCTCCCTGGACGAAAGTGAACATCAGGGTTGGCTGATCGGCCCGAGCTGCATTGTAACGCAACCACAACCGACTCAGGCATTGCGCCAGCTCCTGCAAATTAGACAGTCCAGTCGCGGAGAACCCCCGGGATTAATCGCGTCCTTGTCATCCATGTGCCCGCCGCAATGATCACAAGCCTGCCAGACACCAGAATCCGCAGAGGCCCACTGAATGCCGCGACCTGGCCAGCGATGCTTGCGACAGTGCAGCAAGTGGCTGTCCTTACTAAGCCTCCGGCCACACAGAGAGCAGCGATGTCCGCGTGTGTCGTCGATGCCAACGCAGCGCTCGCAATGGCAGTGGAACTGCCAAGGGCGATAAAGAGCGCTGCGCCTCTTCAGTTCGACTCGCAACGCAAACACTGTATGATGTTGCCTACAGCTAGGCGCCTCTGTTGAACTGGCAAAAGGAGGCTGCTTTCAGAAATGTAGGAGACGGTGACCTCCTTGCAGACATGCCAACTCTCAACAACCTCCTTGCACAAAGCATGGTTTCCTCCAATGCAACTCATGCGTTGCAGTCGTCCTCGCCAGCCTTGATTTGTCGAACAGCCACCAAGCTGCACATTCCTTCCTCGCAGGCAAACCAGCTAGCAGGACTGCCTACCTTCCAGCGTTCAACCATGCAACATCATGGCTTGCCGGTGTCCTCGCCAAGGACGAATGCACATGTGGGCCGACACGAATGGTTCGCTCGGCTGATCGTCAAGAAAACGCCAGCGCCGGGGCCTCCATGGATTCTGGCTTGGACACTCCGGGGCCTCCATGACTCGAAAAACCTCCGCCTCTCAGCTTCACACTGTTCACCTTCCTCAGTGCACATGCGTCATGCGACTGGACCTCGCAACACTGGCGAATCACTGCAGTCCAGGCTCAGAATTCCAAGCAATCGACGTTGCTCTTTGGAAGACCGTATATACCTGAGCTCACGCTTTACGAGCGTGTCGCAGTTCCTTCTTTTGGTCGTGTTGTTCAGCCAAGTCTCCCTGGCGACTCTTCAAGAGCTTCCACCGAAGGCTCCGGACAGTACAGGCCTTACACTGAGACGGCAACATGCTTCGATGCTTCAAGCAGCTTCAGTGCGCGCAAAGTCCAAGGATCCCCAGATGGCATCTTGGACTTCGCTAGGTAGCTGATGGAACTGCTCCCAAATCGAGGCAGCACCTCCAGGACGCCAGACGCCAGGCAACTCCAAAGCTCCGAAACAGACTTCGGTCGTGCGACTGTGCGACACTTCCTCACAGGCTGCCTTGCTCCGAGACCGTACTGCCCATGTCGTGCGTAAACGACGCTTTCTCCCTCCGGGCGACAAGGGGGTGCCGCACACACTGAGATCATGCCGTCGAAGTCTCTGTGATCTTGCTGGAGGACAATGCAGGCGAACGACCACTGAAACAGATCTTGGACGGCTCGGCTATGGCTAAAGCTGTTACGGCTCTTGCCAACATGAGGAGGAGGACTGACAGGAGGACCTCTGTTCAACCTAGCGTTTCAGCAGGCTGTCCTGATCATGCAATCGCCGGTGTCAGCATCCTGGCAGGGACGGAGCTGTCTTCGATCCCGCATTCGACCGAACAGCGGGCACGTGCTGAGAGTTCTGGCATCACACAACCACAAGCATGCCCGACCTGGTGTACACATGGAACTGTAGCCCCTAGTAGTTAAATGCTTCCCCTTGACAGTCCGCAGGAGGCGTATGCAACAAAGCAAAGCTCCACCTCTGTGGCAAGGAGGCAGCGCCCTCGGTCGTTGGTCGATCCTTGTCCAATCTCCTACTCTGCATCATACTGCATAGTGTGTATGCGATGATGCCGTGCTTTCGTTGATGGTCAAGTCAAGAGGACATCTCAACATCTGTTGCAGGAGGCTTTGCGCTGCCCTGGAGTATAGACACCGTCAGCATCCGTCAGCCATCAAGCCGAGTTTCCCACCGCCACCTTCAGCATCACGCTTCTCTCCTGCATGTGGCATAGCCACAGTCATGCTTGATAGTGACGTGGGCATGAGGCATATCCCGGTGGATGAAACTCATGCTTGCACCGGAGCCATGCACGCGCAGACAGCAAGCTTGCCGTGCAAGACCGGTCAGGTCCGATGCGAGAATAAGGCAATGTTGGGAAGGGTGCGCCAATACTGCAACACAACGTCGTCTTGCCTCGTCATGAGACCGTCGCAGAACTTTTGGCCTGGCAGAACGGGACTGCACGATTTGCCTGACTTCCTTCGCAGAGGCTTTGGTATGGAAGCAGTCCTGGTATCGTGGGTGCCGAGAAGCCGTCTAGGAGTATGTAGGACACACAAGGCCCAAGTCATGGACCTGCGGACATCCCAAAGGAATTCAAGCAACCATGACATCGATTATGACCACGGGATCTCTGGCTCTTTGCACATGCCTCCATCTGTGCGAGCTTGTCGGGTGGCAGCCAAGTCGAGGTTTGGCGCCCTGAGTCCTGAGCAGTTCGCTGTATGGTTATGGACTCAATGCCTTGACGGAGCCTGTCTGCAAAGCAAGTATCAGCCAGAACTGTCCATCAGCAGGACCAAACCTTCTCCCGAATGGCCGTTCTCGCTGCAGCGGGAGGCCACCACTGTATGACCAAAGCATGGCCCGCACATACCCATGATTCCCTGCACTGCGGCAAAATATGTATCGAGAGAGCAGGATGAGCTAAACGCCCATCCTGCTCTTGCACGCGATGTTCGCGTGTCGTATCTCCGAGCCGAAACTCGCTGCGTGTGGTCGTCGTCAACACTAGCGGCATAGCGCTTGGGGCTTCGTAGGGCTGTGATTTTGGAGTCCAGAGCTCGCAGTTCCCTTGTACTCAGCTTCTCGCCGATCGACTACCCCTCCGAGGAAGGATCTTGTCCTGCCGAAGGTCATCCTCAGCGCCACACAGGGTGGATCAGAATGGGCTTTGGCTCAGATCTATGGCTTTCCGAAAACCTATCACTGACGACTCCTCGACTCCATCACGCAAGCAACACAAGCAGACGCACTTGGTGACCTAGAATATCTTCACGCGTCTGTCGTGCTACCGCCCATGAAAGCCATCGCTGCAAGGCGCCGACCATGTAGACGACTGAGTTCGCGGCACAACTTGAAGGATTTGGGACACCTGTGTGCCTGGCAGAGACTCACCGCATACTTTGCCTCGCAAACCATGCCCAGAGCCCCTTATCCTGTAAAGGGTTTAGGGTTTAGGGTGAAAACATACCCTCCAGACCTACCCCAAATCCTGAAGTGTAACAGGGCATGTGTTACACTGCCTGGCACTCTGAGGCCGCCAGAGCCCCTTAAAGACACTGCACCTACTTGCTGACCTACTGCTTCGGGATCAGGTCTGTCCTGCAAGCACCATTTCTGCTTCATTTATCAGCATGAATCACCCACTGCGTTGCACTAGTGCTCTATTTATTCGATAGAGATTCGGATGCAGATTGTCGCACCATAACCATGATCCAGCGACCTTCTTCCTTGCGGCTGACAGATCCTCTAATTGACCCGATCTTACATGTCCCAGTGTTGATTGGTGACTTGTGTGAAAAACAATACCTGAACAGCCAAACTGTGACTCGTCCATTAATCATATCACGGCTGTTGCCGCCTAGTATAAGCTCCACCTCCACCTTATCATGAAGTAGAGAAGCTTGTCAATTTCGTGGAAGCCGTAACCATGAACAAGTAGAGCTCCTTTTTGGGGCTCTGAAACTCTAGCTTCAGGTTTCTGGGAGATGATAGCTCTCATGAGAGCACCTTCGACTTTGAGATACAACGACAAGGGCCAAGGCTGGTCTACCCGGAGACAGCCAATAGGAAAGATCTTCCATCCCGCAATGACATATGAATGACAGCTCGTTGCCCCCTATTGAAGAAACATCACAGCTCCTGCAGCTTCTCTTTTTCAGTTTGTTCTGTGCAATGGAAAAGAAAGAAGCTTCCAATCTGTTATCCCTTCGAGTCATATTAAGCAAAGAGCAAGAGGATGGAGGAATCTAATTTAGACCTAGATGTCAAAGGTCAACAACGGTGGCAGACGAGAAGGATGCCCGGATTTGGATGAAATCAAAGTGAGTATGTGTGGATTCGTGTGTCTCTTGTCAGGGCCGTTGCTGATGCCCCGCCCTGTGCCACGCATGTTGACAGCCTCAGCACGTTCCTCAAGCTGCCGTCTCGCAGACCTCCAGTATGTAGCTTGACGACATGCTCCGAAGAGGAAAGGTCGGATACTCAGTGCACCAACATGAACTCGACGTGATGTGAAAACCCCGCAGCAAGCAGCATTAAGGTAGTTGACAGAACGTAAGTAGCCAAGCGGCAGCGTCCTGACCGTCTCGTCATTCCGGATTGAACCTGGCAGGCTTGTCTTGAAGCAATCCCTGACAACATGCGCCTGACAAGACATCACGCCGAGGCCTCCTCCTGCAGAAGTACTCTCTCCTGCTCGCGACGATCGGTCACCTCCCAACACTGAAGCAAGACAGCACCCTGAATCGTAGCGCTGTCAAGATCTGTCAAGCAAATCACTCTGCCCTCTGACATGGATCTCGGGAACAAGTCGTCAAGAAGTTCGTGGAAACCCGAACAGCACTTCAGCAGAACACGTGCCATGCCGGTAGAAAAACAAGCTCTGCAATCCAAGCTTCCTCATTCTGGCCCCAGCCGACCCAACCTGAACATGCATCGTTCTGACTTGCACAGGAACATAAACAAAAGACCGCCTACCTGGCCTACCTCCCAACCAGCCGTTTATGAGGGCCTTGGCTGCTCCGGCTGCGCGCGCTTGGCATGGACGACGGCGCTGCTGAGCCTGGCAGCATCGGAACACCATCATTTTCAATCCCAAGGCAGGATAGACTCTCTGCATGAATACATTAGCCCTGCCTGCGTCCGGAGCAAACAACTCCAGGCACGCTCGCGCTTGCCTTGAATCCTGCAGCAGACTACGTCCGCTTCAAACAGACCTTCTCGAGGTCAGCGCTCGCACCTGCCGCCTCGAACACCCACGATAACTGGGTGTGGGGGACGAGAAGCCTGACGCATGAAAACAAAAAGAATGTCACAATGCTTACAAGGGCTTTGCGGCCTGCCTTCTGATGGTTCGGGCCACGCCAGCGGAGAAGCGTCACGTCGCCCTTTCTAGGCTCCGGAATTGAAGCCATCGCGGTACGAAGTGCGTACAGCAATGCGCATGGGCGAGGCATGCAAATCTTCGTCATGCAAGCATGCAAACTGCAGCCAAACAGTTCAGCTCCACACCACCATGAGGTGACTTTCTCAACCGGGTGAAGCCGTATTCTGCCACTTCGTCTGGAACCGCACCTCAGTAAACTGGCAAAGTCAATGCCCAAACGTGCCCGGATATGCGCCCTGGTCCAATACAATACCTGAGGCAAGCGACCCACCTGTTGTTTGCCTTCTCCAGTTTTTCTGGTTCCAACCGGCAGAAGCTCCTTATGCGCTCGCCACCTCTGTTGGTCCAGTCTCTTTACTTCTTCCACCCGTTTTCTGACGGACTTGTCCTTCCGGCTAGCTGGGTTCTTGTTCTCTTCCTCTTCCACTTGGTGCGAGGCAAGGGGGCCAGGGCCGCGCATGCATGCTCCTGTGACCGGCCTTCTCTGAGCGAAAACGAATCGAAGCAAGCCTTCGTTACCTGCTTTCGACATTTCATTCTCCACTGCTGCCAACAACGGCCAACACTGTCTGACTCGCAGGCTTTGCAAGTCTCAGGGTTGGGCGGCTCTGCCCATGTGGCGATTGGAGTGGGCTGATTGGGCTCACCTTCAGCCGCAGGTCAGAGAGGGATCCGACAAGCCCTGTCTTCGACGCCTGTGTCTGTGGCGACACACTTCTTGCCTCGCAGCGGAAGGGCAGCTTTCTACATGTAGCTAAGCAGACCTACGACTGACCTACCGCGAGGAAGCCTGCGGAACTTCACACTGTTTCCTTTGGGCCCCAAAGTCGACCAGGGCTTCACAAGCGAGGAGTCCCCTGAGGCAACATGAGCCCTGCCGAAGGGGTTTCTGTTCAGATCACAGCAACCTAGATGCATACATGAGCTGGTGACTGAATTCGCTCAAATTGCTCCAGGACCCGGGTAAGCCCAGCGCCCCCCGCACGCTCCCCATCCCGACGTCTCTGGCTGTGAAGCTCTGCAGTTCTGACCAGACTGACATGCGACCACGTAGACTGCCGCAATCTCTCTGCATGCTATCATCGCCTCATGGCCGATGGCCGGTCACTAAGAGTGATCCCTACCCATGCTTCCACCCTGCAACGTAGATTTCGCGCCTTCTGCCCAAGGCAGAGAGGGACCTTGGCATCCAGAAGCATCCCAGGATGCAGTCTTGACCGTGACCGGGGCATCCGGCAGAGTCGCTGCCTCGGCACAGGCCGCTGCCGCGACGGCCCAGAGTATCACGATGGAGGTCGTGGCAGCCTCTCATGAGCTCGCATGGTATCACATATATCACACCCTGTCCGGAACGTATCGGCGATCAGAGAGCCAGGATCACGGGATGCGGGCATTGCCTGACTGCCGCCCTTGACTTGAGCCCGAACAAGAAATCCTCAAAACAAAAAACCGACAAGCTGCGAAAGCCGATGCACTGCGTCGGAGACCCCCGAAACCTCTCACGTCAAGACTTGCAAGTCTCGCCTCGATCGCTGGAGGCTTCATCGCCCAGCAGCTCCCAGACAAGACGCGAGTCCTCAAAGCATGTCCGCCACGCATGGCATGATTGCGGCAGAGTCGGAGAAGGCAGGGCCGGGCTTTGTGAGGAGTTCTGGAGCAACAGTTGAATCATGCGGTGAGGACATACATGAACTGAGATCACCCCACGATGGCCAGTCTGCAAGTTGGTCCTCCAAGAAGTGCTTCTTCTGCTTTCGTCGCACCGGCACTCCAACGTCATCTGCACTATCCATGGCTGCTATGTCCGTGTATGCAAAAGCTTTCGTTCACTATTGTTACATGTGATTTACTGGCCTAGACTCATGACCTTGCGAGCCTACTGCCTGTTCATGTACAGGTATGCAAATTCGATCGTGACGATGCTGTATTCGCAGTGTCCTGGTGGATCCGACAAGATTTTCAAATCATTGCCTTCTCGATCTTCCAACGTTGCCATCCCAGTCAACTGTCCATTGGCACGCAGCGGGCGAGCAGAACCTTTTTCAAATTTTTCCATCTTCGACAGAGCAAAACATTTTTGCCCGTAGCAGTAGCAGGTCGCAAGCTGCAGAATTCACAAAACCACCTCGATCGTGCCATGTTTCAGCGCGAGAGAGGCGACCTGCTTGCATTCTGACCGGTCTCCGTCCAATCCTTTCTGCAGGAAGCGCGGAATAGACTGGCCCTCGGCAAAGTCGGCTGCGGTCCAGCCCCGACAGTTCCGGAGCTCCAGCTGGGCACCGCAAGCGATGAGGGTGGCAGCGGCCTCGTATTGAGCCGACCGCACGGCTTGCATCAGCGGCGTGCTGCCGTGGATGTGGTAAGCCAGCGTGGACAGCGCTGTGGCTTTACCGAGCCGGTACTGCAGGGCCTTGGCTCCGACGAGCAGCCGGCCTAGGCGACTGTAATCGCGCTTCATGTCAAATCGGAAATCGATGTCTGCTTGCAGGTCCAGGAGGTACTGCACCAGGTCTGCGGACCCGCCCCGAAAAAAGGTTGCTATGTGGAGTCCTTTGGAGAGCACCAGAGGGTTTAGCTGGGCCTGGGCCACCAGCTCGTCCACGGCCATCTGGCAATTGAAGCTACTTGCTGTGTCGAAGGAGCTGATTCCAATGAGGTCCCGCGCCAGCGGCTTACCCTCCGCTGCACACAGCATCTTGATTGCCTCTCTGCTGTCCGCTGCGGCAGCGCACTGCATGGCTGAGACGATGCCGCCCTCGAGGTTGGCCCGGGCGCTGATCAGAAGCCGAGCAGCCTCGTGCCGTTTAAAGAGAACTGCCACGTCCAATGCTGACACCCACCTCGATACGCCCAGGCTCAACACTTCCTTTGAAGTTCGCTGGTTCACTGCAGCTCGCTGCTGCAGAAGGCCTCGGACGACCTCCGCCTTCCCGGCAAGGGCTGCGTAGTGCAGCGGCCACCAGCCCCCGCTGTCAGCTTCGTTGATCTTTGTGAGACCATTCTGGTAAAGAAAATGTCCCACTGCGTCTCTAATGTCAGCTTGGTCAGCGTTGTTGTCTGGGAGGATGCTACTGACGGGCTCGACATCCAGACCCCGCAGATAAACACTCTGCGCGTTGAATTGGATGCGGAAGCCGGGCAAGTCTCCTACTCGCAGACAGTGCATGATCTTGCTCATCACGATGTTCCGCATCACCGGTGCTAGCTTCTGCCGGTCCTCTTCCTTGGCGAAGTTGCCTTCTCCGACTGAAACTCTGGGAAACGATATCCTGCCGCCCACAAGTTCAACGCAGGTGCTACTCTGGATCAGGATCCAGGAGCTGCATGGGGACAGCTCGCGGGCTGTTCGTTCCAATGCACACCATCCTCTTTGGGACCAAGTCAATGCTCCGAGCACTTTCGAAGCCGACGGGCACTCAATCGTCGGGCAGAGCACGAGAAAGAGCACGCACTTGGCCACGTACGCCGGGATGCTGTTGATTGCCTTGGCCTGGTCGCACTGCTCGAGCTGCGGGACGGAGAAATAGTCATACCACAGAAACAAGGAAGAGGTCTGAAACTCGCGCATCGGCAGGGGTGTGGCAGTTGGCAAATAAGTTTCTGTTGCAAGGTCTATTGGCACGACATTCCTGGCCAGGAGACGCTGCAAGGCGCGCTGCAAGACGCTCATCTGCGCGAACTCGGGGTCCGGGTGGTGCCTCGCGACCCATTGGTGGGAAACGAAGGCAGCCCTCGCTCCCACGTCGTCCTCAAAGACGGTAAGCTGCCGTTTCGCCTGCACAGGGCCCAACAGAAACAGAGCAGGCGCCATTTCGCTGGCTTCCAAGACTGCCCTAAGACTGCGCTGGACCCTCGGCCGATTAGGCGTTCATCCAAAGATCCTAAAGTCCAAAGAACTCCCAAGACAACTGTGAAGACTTTGCATGCAGCCAAATGGTCAGCAGGAGGGCTGTGCGCTCCCAGAAATTGCACCTCAGGGCCTGACTCGAAGACGCCGACTTCGTGTTTCGGACTAACGTGTTACTCTTCTGACACACCTGGCCTTCAGCTCTTCGTGCGGCAGCACTTCCGTCATCTCTAATACCAGCTCCACCGCTACGGTGTACATGGGGAAGAGCATCTGCGCCTGAGCTTCTGTGGACAGCCCGAACCCATCACCCTGCGCGGAAACCTAGAACCTGGGTCTGCCGCTGCCGATGCAAGACACAGACCACTGGCCGAGAAAGAACAATCTGTCGGTCGAGTTTTCCAGAGTTATCCAGCCCGTGCTCCCGCCCCTGCACATCTCCCATGCCAAACAGAGGCGAACTGATACACCCAGCCCTCAGCCTGGAGATGTTTTCGCGGCTCTAACGCCATCCTCCGCCTTCCAACCTGCGCATCTCATCCCGACGGCAACATGCAAAACCTAGGATCGCAGGAACCTAGCGCTAGGAGCACGACGGAAGCCGCAAAAGTTTGCTTCTCCGGTCACAAGACAGACGAGTCTTCTCAGCTGCTGAGTAACATCGGGTTGTTGGTGATTTCTAAAGCAACGACAGATTATGGCGCAGACGCCACGTGCTCAGTGACGGCTGAGAGACCTTTAAGAACCTTTAAGGCTTGTGGTTTCTCAGAGCACTCGACATGGGCTGTGCCATGCAACTTGAGCGAACGACAGAGAGAAAAGGTGAACTCGGACATGAGTCAAGGGGCATCGCTTTTCAGATGGTGGATCGCTTTTTCCGAGGCTTTTTGTCAATCGAAACACAGCACTACAGGTACCGTCGCTGCTTGGGAAAGCCATGATGCTTGACTCCTTTCGCGATTCGCGTTCTCTGTGCTGATGCCATATTCAGCTGCTATGTGGATTTGCATATCTGAAGTGCGAAGTTGGATTATGGCATATGCTTAATTCACGTGGGTGTTTTGCATCTCTGGCACCTCTGGGCTGATGCCATGAAACGAACAAAATCGTAGCTCCCATGGGGATTTGCAGCTGCGGGGTTGAGACGTTGGAGTATCGAATGCCCTAGCTGCTCCAGCTGCACTTGCCTCACAGAACTCACTGCGAATCTGTGTGGATCCACGAACACTTCAATGGTCCTAAAACCTCATAACTAACCCTGAACCATAGGTTCTACAAGCTGTTGAAATTCGACGGCTTCCGGCTAGGCTTAAGGCCAATAGGGTGATGTGTCCGCTTTCGGGTCTGGGGTTCTTGGTTAATTTAGGGCAAAGGCACAATCGAAAAGTACTATGCAGGATATATACACATATATGATCTTCTTTATATATATATATATATATACACAATATTGTATATATTGTACACATTTTCAGATGGTGTATCCCCTTTCCAATGCTTCACATGAAGCGGGCCCCATGTCTGCCCGCAGGCAATTGCGAATAAGAGCTCATTTTGCCAGTTGCTCGCTCGCAGGCGTCGATTGTTAATAGGCCAAGGGCCCGAGATCGAAGCGATACCAGAAGCTGACGCTTTGCGCCCCTTCTCCTACTCTGGTTGAGATACTGTCACCGGTTCCACGAAGGAGCCCACCAGATTTTCTACTGATGGTGCCACACGATCAACACAATCAACGAGAGGGTGCCGGTTTCGACAGCAAGCGGTTGCGGTGTTAAGGGCCTGTCTACATAGGTTACGAGCAAAGCTGAGATGGCTGGAAAAAGAAGTTCTCCGGAACACCCCACACATGTGAGGGATGGCTAGCATGGTCAGGATCGGGGTTATGGTTCATGGCTATCCCGCAGGCGCAACAGGAAAGCGAGCGCAAACTTGGAACGCCGAGCAGCGCCCGCGTCCTCCGGCAGGGACTTGGCATAGAGTTCCAGTGCGGTGGGGGTCCTACCCACGCAGCAGGACATCAGCGACCCGCACAAAGCCTTCAAAACAGTCGCTGTACTGCAAAATCACCTGGATCTCGAGCCACGAATCCAAGAAAGGCACACAGGCAGCCTACAAATGCTCTTCATCCCTCGCCTGAAGAAACAATCCATGGAGTCTCAATGAGGTCGACGCAGAATCTTCAACAAACTTGTAGCCCTTGTGACCAAGGTTGGAATTGTGCTACAGCTTTCTTGCTCAAAAGCCTCGTGCATCTGCAAGCGCCTGCTACGTGTGGCAGATCTTGGCAAGGCTCCGGTGTCGGACTTCCGGGGCGGCAATGCAGGTCGACCACAGCACTTGCGAACATGCCAGACCAAGTCTCAAGTCAAGGCAGGTTCGGGATCACGAGCATCATTAGGGTGTCATTTCTCCAACATCCCTCAAGCCTAAACCCTTCATGCGACTCTTCTGTGTGTCCCAGGATTGGAACAAGCGTGGCCGGGGCTGGGGCTCGGGAACTGCGAGTCAAGAGATCAAGCCAGTCTGCACCAAGGGGTCTCGTGGCGTCTCACGGGCGAACAGGTAGCATCAAAAGGGCGCGCTTCGAGAAAGTGTACGCATGTTGACAAGCATCGCATGCCCATATGTGGGAGGCAACTCTTTCTGACACTCCCCTGCCAGAATTTCCGAGTGCGGGCTCGCACATGCCAGGAATCGCCACGGGAAATCATCTTCTACTACTCGTAGGACATGAAACAATCGCGGCGTTTCCTTGGCTTCTTGCTCGGTGAACCCTGCTGTACTGCTGGCGCTGCCGACTTGTCGAGGCTACCAGCGATCCAGCAGGTCTAAACACCAAGGTCCTCCGAAAACGAATCCGGGGACTATGCCATTTCTACGATGCCTATTGCTCTGTTGCAGATCTTCGGACGAGGCATGAGGCTGTGCTAATGCTGCGAAACCCCTTCTCCTGGCCCTACTGACGAACAAGCTGACGCCCTCTCATTTGCCACGCTTCTTCGCGGCATGAGGAGTGGTCTGCATTCCTTGCATAAAATCTGGGCCCTTGATTGAAAGGCAGCTTGGCCTACCAGAAGTGCTGCTCTGCTGAGACCCACCTCAAGGGAAGCTTTGAATCGCTTGAATGTGTTTGTCATCGCCTGCTGGGTGATGCGAAAGCTGCTGAGTCAAGATACTGATTGGGCTCATGCTGCAGGGCTGGGAGTGCCCCATTGCCACATCTTCTGCACACCGCGCCTGCGTCTTAAGGACATAATCGTTGTTCGGAGCAGCGGGCACAGCCCAGACGAGTCGCGTTCACTGAAGCAGGCGAGACTCTCTGCAGGTCCAGAGCAGTAACCATTCCTGCATTCTTGAAGACCAGGCACCGACAAGCACAGCTGCACGGAGTTGCACGAGCGGTGCATCACTGGCCCTCATGCCAGTCGAGCCTCCAAAAGCTCTTCTTGCAAGAGAGCGGAAATCTTGCTTGCCTTGTTTATCCGACGAGCAGCCCTCGTGCCTTCGCAAGTCTTCCATCTGCCCCTGCTAGCAGAGCTTGAAGGACGTCTCGCTCTCCCTGGGCTGCGAGGCCTACCGGTGTCTCATGCGACAGATTCTCCTTTTCCATGTCAGCTCGAGCTTCGACAAGGCGCTGCACAATCGCCAGGTGGCCAAGGCCCGTCGCTACGAGCAAAGGTGTGGATCCACTTTCATCGCTTCTGTTTACGTCGACTCGAGCAGCGAGCAATGCTTCAAGCATGGCAGTTTGCCCCTGCCGGCAAGCAGCAAGGAGAGGGGTCGTTCCGTTCACATCCGCAGTCTCTGCATGGGCTCTGGACTGCAGCAATGCCTTCACTATCCGAGCATGACCATTCGCGCAAGCGGTCCGCAGCGGTGTCGCGCCAGTCGCATCTGGCAGGTGCCGTGCATTAACGCTTATCAGAGCGCGAACGATTTCATAGAATCCAGCTCTGGAGGCCACCAGCAAAGGCGCTTCTTGGTGGCGATCAGCCAAATCCACACAAGCACGAGCCTCAATCAAAGCAAGGACGACTTTCAAGTGGCCAGAAGCTGCAGCAAGCAGCAATGGGCTGGCTCCAACCAAGTCTCCCCGATCTAAATCGCCCCCATGACACACAAGTTCCTGCACGATATCCACATGGCCATTTTCAGAAGCCGCACTTAGAGGGGTGGTACCGTCGCAATTTTGAACGTTCGTCTGAGCTTTTGCCATAAGGAGACATCTTACCGCTTCTACATGCCCATGAAGCGCGGCCACGAAGAGAGGCGTGTCCTTTACAACCGAGGCTACGTCAGGATCAGCCATCGCTGCTAGCAGCAGCCGTGCAATTTTCGTGCAGCCCACGCGCGAGGCAACCAGCAGGGGACTACGGCGCTTGCGATCCAATTTATCGACGTCGGCCCTTCGGGAGATCAGGAGTTGTGCAATCTCGGCTAAACCGTTTTGCGAGGCTGCATGCAGAGGAGTTTCACCGTTTCGATCTGCTTTCTGCTCCGCTTTGGCTTCCAGCAGCAGACGCACTACATGCACCGCATCCTTATGCCCGGCCCTTGCAGCTGCCAAGAGCGGTGTTTCCTTGTCGGCAGCTTCTCGATCTTTGTCAGCGCCAGACTCGAGCAGAAGCCGGAAAACCTCGACGGAGCCGTCGCGCGCGAAGGCCAACAAGGGCGTCGCTCCGGCAGAATCCGGGAGATCCTTGTCAGCTCCAGCCTGCAGCAGGGCCCTCATTGTGTCCAGGTAGCTGTTTTCCCCGGCCAGTCTCAGCGGGGTCTGTCCATTTGCATCCGGCCTGTCAGGTTCTGCACTTGCTTCGAGCAAGAGCTGAGTGATTGCGAGGAAGCCGTGGGAAGATGCATGGAGCAGCGGGGTTAAAGCCAAAGCTTCCACGTTTGGATCTTGGGATTGCTCGAGCAACTCTTTCACCTGCAAATGCGAGTTCTTCCTCACAGCTGCCCAGAGATCCTTTGTCCAATCCCGAGATAAAGTCAAGAGGACCAGCTGAAGCTCCTTCATGCTCCCATCCCATAAGTCTTCGTCCTGAAGCATGTGGCCCTCCAAGAGCAGCTTCTGTCGAAAGGTCGGCACGCCGATTAAAGGAGCCAGATGTCGCCTCACCGCTCTATTGAAACCACCATGCACCTCTATGAGGGTGCTCAGATCCCTCGTGTTTAGAGCGGCGAGCTCGGTCCCAGCCACCGTGCAGACTCGAGCCATCTCGATCTATGTACATTGGAGATGCTGTTGGCGCACATTTCCTGAGCCACACAGTTCTCTGTTCCAAAGACTTCATAAAGCATGGCAAGCAACCCGAACTGGCATATCTTTTTGACAAGGTCGAACCAGCTTCGGTCCACGCCAGCTCTGGATGCGCCTGGTCGAACAAAGGCGATGAACGCGCCCCTGCCCGCGTGTCCCAACTCAGGATAAAGGCGCCTCATTTTGGAGGATCTTGCGAAGCTCCGGTGGACCTGTCGAATGCTCTGGAGCCGAAGAGTCTCAGAGAATTCATCGAAGCCTTCTGGAACCTGCACCGCGAGCAGGGCCACTTCTCTCAGCCTGTGCCAGCTGAAAGAGCTCGGGAGGATTTGTGGTGCACGGCTGGGCGCGAGGCTTGAAGTCCCAACCCAGCTTTGCCGTACCTGAGAGACAAACGAAGCTTAGCCTCATGGCACTCGGTAGAACATGAAAGTAATGGCGAAGAGGAGGAGGCGGAGCAGGAGGAGGAGCAAACGATGCTAACAACGGTGAGCATGTCCATGCTGCGGCCAGTTGTAATCACCATGAGGTGATGATGATGAGGAGGAGGATGATGATGATGAGGATGAGGAGGAGGAGGAAGATGAGGAGGAGGAGGAGGAGGAGGATGAAGAGGATGAGGAAGATGAGGAGGATGAGGAGCATGAGGAGGATGAGGAGGATGAGGGGGATGAGGAGCATGAGGAGCATCAGGGGGATGATGAGGATGATGAGGACGAGGATGATGATGAGGAGGAGGAGGAGGATGAGGATGACATGATGGTTATGCTGCTGATGGAAACGATGGAAATGATGCAAATGACGGCCACGTGCTGAATGCGAGGAAGAGGAGCAGGAGAAGGAGGAGGAGGAGGTGGAGGAGAAGGCCTGCAACGCTTGGTCTTGAATATGGGCTCCGGGCTGTGATGTTCCTGACGCCTCCTCGCTCGCTTCTCAAATGCCTCTAGATGAAACTGTCGCACGAGAAAGGCTACGAAGCGCTGCACTGGAGCTGCTGCCATTCCGGAAAGTTGGCCTCTTGTTCATCTTGACGACGACGCTTCCGCTGGTTCAGGGTCTCCTGACTCGTGAAACCCATTGAGGCCGACCGGTCCCAGCTGTCTTTGTCGACCCCTCCGAAGCCCGGCCAACCCTGCTTTCGACGATGCATCGGATTGAGGCCAGCATAACTTGCCCGATTCCCCAAACCTGTGGCTCCACGCATTGTTGAAAGTGTGACAGCTCAGGTTTCGAGGCAGCACAGCCACAGCTTAGCGCAAGAAATTCGCTGCTACAGTAGATGTTGCTAGGTTGGCCTGGCTTCTGAAATCAGTGCCACTTCAGAATGTGCCCTGGGCTCGGGTCACGCAGCATCAATCTTGCCAGTGCATGAGAGCTGTTGAAACCGCTGGTCAAGAGCTGTCCTGCGTACTCTGCAGCACGGACTGCATCTCTTGTGGCAAGGACAGAACCTCAGGCTGAGGTACTCGCCATGGCCCCAAAGTGTGGCAATTTCTCAGGCTCAATCTTCCTTGCTCGTCAGCCCAAACATCGCCCCGGAGCCCTGCCGAAGTGAAACTCACAGCACATGACTGCAACAGAAGGTGAGCTCAAGAAGGGCCTCCTCACATGACGCGGCATCTGAGTCAGACATCCGTAGCTGGAAGGATGCCTCCTGTCAGTGGAGACGATATGGGACCCCTGTTGGTGGTTTATGATAAAGACATGCCGTCACACCCCTCAGAAAAGAAGAGACCTCGTCCGACATGGCACCGGCCGGGCGGCTAGACGATCTTCATGGCCAGCGAGGCTGGTGCTAAATGTCTTGCTGTCCAGAACTTTTGGAAAGTGTTCCGTGAGCAAAGAAGCTGCTACTTTGCAAACCTCAGAACACTTTAACGACCGCTCCTGAATTCTGGAAATCACAAGTGCACTGCGACGAGATTCTCTGCTCCTGTATGGGAGCTTCAGGAATACATAGTAGGATCCGGTTGTGAGGGCCGTTGAGTACCCTATTTGTAGAAGCCCCCGCATGTGTCTCTGTCTATATTCACCACTGCTGGCTGCAAATCCCTGCGACAGGTCGGAAACGCTGATGGAATTTGCTTTGAAGTGCCACACCCATCTGTCTTGATTCAGAGAATATGTTTCGGGGTATGTTATACTATAGCTATATAGGGACAAACTGTAAGGAGATACGATTACTACTTATTGAGACCCATTTGTCCAGAAATGCAGTTCGAGCGGATTGACTACACAACTTACCTGGATCAAGTATGCTACAAGATGGATTTGCAGTGTTTTGGGCCATTTCGTAACTCAAGTTTTGAGCCCAACTTGATTTTGCCACGGTCTGGCCTTGGTCGTTCGAGGTGGCTCAAGGCTAATCTGTCCGAATCAAGGCTCGGATTAAACTTCAAGTTCCTGGCTTTAGCTCAGGAGTAGGCTGCAGTCTGGCCCTTCGAAGGCACGGACGCTGCTAGATTTGGAAGCAGGGGGACATACGAAATAAGATATACTATGTTTTATGATACAATATGACATACTCTGATATACTGCAACACAATATATTAGGATCAAACACACTATAATACAATATAACGTGATATAATAAAACGCAACATAGCATGATGTTGTATATATATATATATATATATACATTATAGTACAATATATATATATATACATACATACATACATATACATATATATATATATATAGAATAGAATGTGTAATACTATTTCTAATGTCATATACAACATCATATATATATATATATATATGCTATAATATATAACATTATACATACGGTAATACATAATATAAGCATAATATATAATGTAATGTGTAATATGATGTATTATATTGTAATATGATATGATATATTTTAACATAACATCATATGATATAGCATATTTTAAAATAACACAACATCTGACATAACATAGCATGTAGTATACAATATAACCTAATACAATACGTTATAATACAAGAAAATATAATGTAATGTAACATAATACAAAATATGTTATAATATAATATACTATGATATAATACATTAAAATGCAATATATCTTCATATAACCTCCATATAACAGAGTATACAACAATATTAGATCATCTAAAATAACACAAAACAAGATAATATAACACAAAATAACACACTAAAACAAAACATACGATAATATAATATCATGTAGTATAATATGCTTGTCCTTGCAGAACCATAGGTTACTGAAGTCGCAGGGGCCCACAGATGGAATTTAGACACTCAAGCACGAGTATCACCAGATCACACACAAGGCTATTGATAAGCATTATGTTATATTGTAGTGTACTATATTACCCTTTTGTATATTATATTGCATGATATTCTATCATATACCTTATATGCACAGACCACTGTTTTGAAGGTCGCCGGATGCAGTCGGAAGTGTGCTGCGTGGCAGGTGATCTGCCACTATCTCCGAGCACGAGCCGACCGCTTGCCTTGGCTTGTATTGCTTTCTGGTATATTAGAGGGTATTGGTATGTTATTTTGAAAATTGAAACCTCAACCTTGACAACTTCTGAAGACCAGCTTAACTCCACCGTGCCTCAACCGAAGCCTCCTGAACTTAAGCCTGCTCCGGCTACAGACCATGACAGGACGAAGACATGTACTTTAGAACCTCACAGCGCAAACGAAGCACACGGGCGGAAATGGCATCAGGAGGAGTACAAATAAAAAATGAAAGTGATAAGCAACATGCCAGCCAGGAGTCGGCTGCAACTCTTACATCTTACGTCAGATGTTGCAGCACTTGCTGCAATGCCATACCTCGAAGGCAGACGCTTTCCGAATGAGGTCCAAAACCCATACCCTAAACCCTCCTACCCCAAAAGCTACACCCCGAAACCCGGCTTCCTGCAGTTGAGGTGCCGGTCGACGACTTCGGCCTCGAGCGCGGTACCTGCCGTCAGCAATGCATAGATGTGAAACCTTAGGGCTTAGGGTTGAAGGGTTTTGGGTTTGGGGTCCCATAATCCTTAAGTTTCAAGAGTTCGTGTGACTGTACTGTCGGCATCGAACAAGAATCGACAGGGGCTTGAACAAGCTACTTTATCCTAGGTGAACGCCTTCGCTGCTCGAACTCCATAAGGCACTCCTTCAGGTAGATCCTCCTGGCAAAGAAAGGCGGAATGCAAGCATAGGTATAGAGAGGAAGGAAAAAAGAGGCGTCGGATTGGACGTAGGCACCTCAACTTTGTCTCGTCGGAAAGACTTTGTCTCCATACCTTGGAACAGCAGACAGTACTGGCTGAGCAGCGGAAGACATGCGTTGAATCTCACTAGCAGGGGCAAAGTGACTCCTGCCAATCCGTATCACAACTAAGCTTCGGACGGTCCACGTAGAGAACACCATTGATCATGTCAACTGCATGCTGGATTTGCCTTGCCTGGAGTGAGTGAACCAATGAACAAAGCTTTCGCACCAAGCTTTGCTCTGAAGGGCACATGTGATCTATCGGAGCTTTGCGCAATTCTGGCAATGCGGCCGGTCGCTTTTGGGAAGCTCAAGCAGAAAGAAAAAAACATGTTCGTACCAGCTCCTATATAATCAGACGAAAATGAAAAATCCACTCGGATGGTTGAACTTGTGGGTTGTGTTTGGGTCTGGGTCAGGGTGAACTGTTGGGTTGCGTTTGGGTCTGGGTTAGGCTGTTCCTGCGGAATCCCCTATCCGACGGACACCCGTTCTTGTATGTGTCTGTGTGCACGCACATTGCATGTGGTTTGTCCGCGTGTGCTTGTTCGCTTTGTGCATAGCAACACAGACAGGGGGTGGCAGAGAGAGAGATGGAGCAGGGTAGGGGAGGAGGAGGCATGCAGGCAGGGGAGGGGGAGGGAGTAAAGTGTGAGTACACAAGTACATGCATTACACTAGACTACACTACACTGTGCTAGGCGAGAGTGCAATACAGTACCATGCATCATAGTAGAGTACAGTACAGCGCAGTGCAGTACGGGATAATACAATAACAGACAGTACTGTACAATAGACTGCGAAGAAGTCTACCCTTTCCCCCACACACGCCTGCCAGCCTTTGGCCATGAAGCTCACCGCCCGACCTTCTTCGCTGAAGGCCTTTACCTCCACCTTGCAATCCGACACGAGACAAGGCCGGAGCTGATGAACAAAGAAGACTGTCAGCCGGCTCTCGACAAAGCGCCGAAAACCCATGAAAACCTTGAGTAAACAAGCCGGACTCAAGCCTCAGGCGAGACGAACGGCAGGAGCAGGAAAGCAAGAGACATGGACGGTCTCAGACGGCATGCGGAAGTGGGGGGAGACAACCGGACCAAAAAGTCTTCGGGGGAAGGACACTGCAGTGTCGGCATCCTACCGTTCTCTGAGCACGATCCGAAGGCTCAGAGTTGCAGTTCCAGTCCAGGATCCGCATCACGAGACAAAAAGAGAAGGCGCACTTCCGCCTGCAGCGGCCGTCCAACCACTGCTTCGTATCCAGGCACAGAAGCCGACCTGGCCATGATTTCGTCATCAATGAACCCATGAGCCTAGCATCAAAGAGTCTTAGATTCTTAGCTACGCTTAATTCTATATGGGTGGTTGTCAAAATTAGGGTCCCTTTTTGGGTACCCTAAATACTAGGTGCCGTATTATATTACGGACCCAAAAAGGGACCATAATTTTGACAACCACCCATATGTTGGCACCAGAGGATTGAACCAGCTGGGAGCCGGAACACTGCCATGCGCAGTTGACTTTTCTCAATTGCAGCTTCACCGCCCAGCTGCTCTGTCTAGCAACGATGAAAACTGGATGGCAAGATGTGAAGCACAGGCCATCGAAAATTCATCGAAAACTTCAGCAGCGCACGGCATGGTGCAAGAGCTGGCTGCTGTTCTGCCGCTTCCAAAGCAATTAGAGAAACTTTCTTGGTACAACAACTGCCATGTTTGCAGCTTATCTAAGATGCCGCCAACTCCGCAGACCCCCGTTTGAAAAGTCGCGCAAACCGAAGATGGTTGGATCTGCTCCTTTGATACACTGTGGGCGTCGTCAAAGCGCTGCGATCAACTTCCTCGGCTGCAGCTCGGGGTCGCAAGGGTCTTGAGAACAGGGCTTTAGCGTACACTATCGTCCAATTGCGTAGGGACTACAGTGACTACCGTCACCATTCTCCGTCTCGCCGCGCTACTGGCCATAAAAACATATACCGTCTTCTTGTGATGGCTATTGGAACGATTGACGATGTTGTCCATTTATATGATGATATAACGGCGACTGAGAGATGCTGACACTTCATGCCATACAGCCTAGAGGCCCCAGTTCGCCGCGCAAACGCCTCGCTGCATTGAGAGACATATCCCGCGGAACTCCTGCAAGGTGTGGTTGTACCAAATCTGGGTTTCATCTTTAGGGGTCCAGACTTTATTCGAATGGTGCGAAGAGAGGAAAGTAATTGCGCTGCGGGTTGCAACCGAAACCCTTGGCCCGCCTACGCGTTGCTGCAGGTATCGCAGGCATTCTGCAAGGTCGTTACCTGCAGCTACAGATGCTAGGGCCTGTCCACAGTCACAAAATATCTTGAAATATGTAATCTCCGAACACGTTCAAACGTGGTTTGCAGCAGAAACGAGTATTTACTAGTGCGAGCAGTCAGCAATGGCTAGAGGAGGGGTTGCCCAGACTAGCAGCTCGGCGATTCCTAGTCCTAATCATGCAGAAAAGGCCCTTGTCAAGATGCGGTCTTCCCCCTTCAAGGATTGCATGCTCTTCTGAGCTGCCTGCAGCCACGAGCTCCGACAAAGCGCGGCGACAAGACGCACGTTCACAGCACTCGCAGGAGAGATGGAATCTGCACCCTGGCCTCCCACGAAGCCGATCGGAGGGGATCAGCATCATCGCCTTGCGGAAATTTTGCCCGGAAAGCAGCATTATTCTGTGTTTTGGTCTTTCAGCCTGGATACTGGGTGTCTAGGCATTGCAAAACAAAGAAAACAAATCCCAAAACAAACAAACCCACGGACCCTTTCAACACGGGCCGTGCCACGAGTTCTCGCCAAGTGGCGATCAGCAGCAGCGGCATCGCCCGCCAATAACATGTCTACGGTGTGGCGGAGGAACCTGAAGAATGTTAGCTATCCAGCATCGCAGGAGGACTATGGAAGCAGCTGACATTCATTGAACATCCGCCTTTTGCTTCTCAGGTCTGGACACATCCATCGTGGAGATCCACTTCTCGGCTGGCTTTGCCTGCGCTGAATTCAGAAATCCGAGAGGCCGGGCTTCCCCAGCGCAGGCGCAAAGGAACCGATTTGGGCCAAAGTGTCGTTGGGATCGGAAAGCTCTGCCCACGCAGGCGGAAATCCTCGGTCTGCTTAAGGCTGCCTTCTCAAAGCTTGCGGGGCTTCTTGCAAAGGGTCTCCCAAGCCTACATTTCGCCACTGCTGCTTTGAGCGGCTATTCTCCAGGAAAAACGACTCAGACTCCAGCATATTCACTCCTAAGCCTAACCGTTAACCTAAAATCTAAAGCTTAAGACCTAAACCCTAAACCCAAATCCCTGAGCCCTAAACCCTGCACCCAAACCCCACATCAGCCGGAGGGCCAGGTCCAGACCGAGCGCGAGATGCAAAGCGAGCGACAGCCTGCACCGGGGGAAACAGGCGAGACTGGGTCCATACTTGGGTAGTTGTCAAAATTATGGTCCCTTTTGGGTACCCTAAATAATAGATGCCGTATTATAATAAGGACCCAACAAGGGACCACAATTTTGACAACCACCCACTTTACGCCACTATACTATACACTACTTTACTATACTATGCTATACTGTACTGTACTGTACTATACTACACTATACTGACTATGACTATACTATAGAATACAATACAACACAATATGTTATGGCAAGATGAACTAAGCCCACATAAGTTCTAAAACTTGGAGCACGTTAAGGGAAACAAAACCTGGCTCAAACCCGATGGAGTACCGACAGCTTCGTGAGTCGTCTGCAGACAAGAGGCAGCAGTATCAGGCATCTGCAATGGCAACATGTGACCCTGTCAGAATGTGGTGCTGTGCGACTTCAGCTCGGAGGGCCTCGTGGTTGTTGATCAATCGCTCTGCGGCTTCTCGACGGGCCTGTGCAGACGAGGTGTTTCTGTTTAAAATCCAAGTCTTCGCTTTTGTAATGTGACGACAAGCGAAAGATTCGTGGAGCGAGGGCCCAAGGAAACAGATGCTTCGAAGTTTCACACGGTTTTCCTTCAGATTGCATCTCAGACAGCTCAACTCCAAAGGCAAATCAGCCCACAGTTGCAGTTGTAATTGCAATGTGCTCAGACACCTCAGCAGATGAGATCCAAGACCACTCGGGCTCGATGACGTCTGCCTGGAGTGGGAGCCTGGATGAAAGGAAAAGCAGCTGAAATGCCTTCCAAATGCCCTGTAAAAACTGTGGACACGTCAGCGAGCAGCCAGCACCACCATCGCAGCAGCACCACGGCCGCCACAGTCAAGAGGAAGAGCAACTACGGCCAACATCAACAACCAAAAGGACAAGCCAAGGCAACCGCACCACAACCACTTCCACCAACGACAAGAAGAACCAGCAACGTGAGATGACAACGACACCAGCACCACCACCACAACCACCAACAGCAACAATCGCCGCCTTTCACAACCACGACTACGGTCACGACTACGACCACGTCGACGAAGATGACGACGACGACGGTGACGACCTAGATCGCAACATTGCAAACATGCAGCACAACAATGCCAACCACAACCACGACCGTAGCCACATGGTCACCACCACGACTACAACGGCGACCGCCACCACAACAACCGCACCACATACCAAGGGACGACGAAAACAACGACCGATGACGAAGACCACCTCCACCACCTCCTCACCACCACCAGCCTTCTGCTTTACAAGTACCGCTAGCAGTACCACCACCGCTGCCACTTTCACTCCCACTAGCTGCAACTTTCTGCTTCCACTACCTCCGTCTCTGTCATCACCGCCAAAATCACAACAGCAACTACGAGAACGGTAGCGACACCATTAACAACAGCAGTTGCAGCAGCTCCAGCAGGAAAACGAGTACCCGCACTAGTGCTGCTAGTGATGCAAAGATCGGTGCAAGCACAGCAGCTTAGCAGAAGGCTTGCAACCCAGTGTCTCAGTGCCTCTTCAACATGCTATCATCACAGCCTTTGCCAGCATCGCCTTCATAGTTGCCACAGTGGCAATCATCGGTGCGAACAGTCGCCGCACATCGCAGCTAGATTGTGATTTACGGCAATCGACTGCATTGCAGTGGTTTGTATCGTACAAGAAGCTCCTTTGCAGGTCAGCGGCCTGCATTGACCAGGCGGCTGCAACTATGCGCTTATACCGCAAGAGCCCACACAAAAGAAAAGCATGTCAGGAGACTTCCAAGCATGACCGTCGATATCGTCCCGGGCGGCCTGGACGAAGCCGAATATCGGTTGGAAGCTTTATGCACATCTCCTCCCTCCAGAATCTAGAACGTGTCCCAACTACTGGGCGGTGCAAGAACGACAACTCCGGCCCGGCGTTCGTACGAAGGAACAGCGTCGCCGAGACCCTTCACCGTCTTATATATCATTCAAGTCAGATGTCAGCACCACCAAGCTGAGAATGCAGGATAGATCCTAAACCACTCAACCCCTGAGCCCCAAGTCCATGAACCCCTAAACCCCAAACCTTCAAGACCTAAACCCCGCCAAACCCTAAAAAAATCCTCAAGACGGCCTTGCCCCCGCTTTCTGCGTTGCAGCCACCGAGTTGAGGAGGCAAGTCCTTTTAAGGGCCCATCCACAAGTACGTAGCTACCCGTCTGTTCTAGACTGTCCTACCTTTGTGGCAGGGTTCTCACTCCAATTTCCATTAACTACATACAAACTGTGGCTAAACCTTTGTTGTGATTATCTCAAGGATAGCACACGAAAGTAACCCAACGGCAGCGCTATAGTGTGTCAGGCTGCTAGGCCTGCTAGGCATGTTAGAAATCGATCCTTATGCATATCTTATCCTTCGTCGAAGCATTATACGAAAGGTTATCTGCAGCATCACCATCACCACTGTCATTCTCCTGATCCTGGTCGCCATCGTCGTCATTGCCGTGCTCCTCGGCTTCGAGGTCGTCATCGCCTTGGTCGTCGCCTTCGTCCTCCTCCTCCTCGTTATCGCCATGACCATCAACTTCATGTCCTTCATCATCATGATCACCGCTGCCACCACCCAAACAATTACCACCATCGGCGCCACCACCGCTACTATCGTCGGAAGAAGGATCAGCATGATCACCGCCATCATCATCATCATCAGCAGCAGCAGCAGGAGCTACATCATCATCTTCTTCTTCACAGCCATCCTCACCAGTTCGACCATCCCCATCATCACGGTAATAACGTGTCAGCACGATATCGCAGGAACTACCACATCGACAATCACCACAACCACAACGGTGTCCATCCTCATCACGATGACCAGCATCAGTGTGATTCTGATCCATTGTTGCCATGGCTTAGTATATTTGTTTCTGCTACTCGCACTGCAGGCTCTCTGAACATGCTTGTTCTTACTAAAAGGGTTGTCCCACAGCACTGCAAGCTATTTTGGAGAGCAGACATCTGCGAGTCAGAAGTGCGACCTGTCAAAGCAAATGGGCATAATGTGTGCATTGCAGGCTGTCATGTGCATGGGTGTAGTAGTCGGATTTGGCTGCCCTGTAGCTTGGCCGCCTTAGAATTGGTGGAGCAACCATGACAGAAGGCAAAGCAGTCATGGTTGGCTTGGTAAGAACGGTGTGTCCCTGTGCATCGCTTCCGTCTATCTCCCTCTCTATCACCTGCGAAAAAAAACTATGCCTGCGGCAATCGGGCATAAAGACAATGCTGAAAACATAGATTCTTGATTGCCTCTTCGTGATAGACAGAGCAGACATCCGATGACTGAGTAAAAGCAGCCCGTCAGATGCACCTATGAGGACATCTGTTTAATTCTTTTAGTTACGAACCTCTGCAGATAGACCATGAACTCCTGTCGTGTGCACTGCCTGAAACACCCCCGCCTGCTAAGCATACAAGGGCCGATACTTGTCTGCGGCAACATCACTCCCTTGCAATGAAGCCCTTCGCAACCGTGAAGTGCCTGAAAGCCTGAACACCACAACTCAGCACAGCAGGACTTCGTCCATGCTGATGGTTTCTGTATTTCGCGAGCTTTGCTGTCATGTGGCGACTCCATTGCATCAAACCAGGCATTGATGGCCGGAAAAGCCGCTCGATCCCGAATGTTGTAGCCCTGCAGACAATTTGACATATCAGCTGCAGTTCTGAAGCAAGAACTCTTCCTCTCTTGCAGCAGATGCTCTAGGCCCGCAAGCAGCAAGTCGACGAAACAAGTGACTCGCACATAGACGGAGACATCGACTTGGACATAGACAGAAACATTGACATATGCTACATGATCCTACAGATGAGCAATAAGAATGCATATATGATACATGCAAAATTCTACGCAATGCAATGCCATACAATACAATCCAGCATAGTATCATATGATACGACATAATATGCTGCACAATACTATGATTATACAATCAATGTATACATGTGACTGTATGCAACGTAAGTATATGTATGTATAAGTACGTATCTCATCTGTGGTTCTGCTTAAACACATACAGAGGGATATACATCCGGGACAGCTTGCATGTTTGAGTATCTGTGTGTGTGCGTCCTTGAAGTAGGCCAGCGAGGCAACAGCTCTCTCGATGAAGGGCGCATACCTCAGGAAAAAACAAAGAGGTGTAAATGGCGGGGGGTGTAACTGCAATTTCGCAGACGTATCAGTGTTCGGTTTTGTCGTAGATCCGGATGAACGATCTAGCAGGGTTATCCGAAATCGAATCGCACTCTACCACAGACTTCGCCTTATTGGCTGTATAGTGTGGGCGGATCAGCCCTGCAAGCACCCAGCACAGTTGCGGTGCAATGATGCATTCCCTGACCTTTTCAGCTTGAGCTGTCCTCACGTCAAATGCTCTTCTGCCTGCACACTTTCTGGTACTGCACAGCTGTTGCTCACTTTGAAGTCAACTTGAAGTCTGATTGCCAGATCGTGCATTCCAAGGCCAGGGAAGGCAAATCGAAGCACTCCACAGGTGTGTCAAGGTAGTGTGGTGCAACCTTCCATTATGGTGTCTACCTGCTGCACTTCTAGGATCTGAGGATGGCACATGATATCAACCAGCGAGAAGCGATCGCCAAGAAAGTATGGCCCACTGCTCCTGGAGCTCAGAGTGTCCTCCACCTGATCTGCTGCAAGAAGCAGCTTTATGGCTATGTCTGTTGGGACAGCTCCGTCGCAATCTGCAATACCAGCTGCTGCATCCACAGCAGGGCATGATACAAAAAAGGTACATCCAATTCATCCCTGAACCCTCTCATCTTACACCCTCGTGTTACCTTTCTCAGAGCTTCTCTTTCTGCAGGTTTCCGTCCGTGCCTTCCGCAGGGTTCGCTCAAAGTCGGGTCGCCCCCCACCACGGCACAGCCACCCCAGCCAGGCTGAGAAGAGCTGCCGCTCCAAACGAAGCAGATTCCTTTGAGGGAGGTGTGAAATGGTTGCTTCAAGATGTGTGCAAAGATGTTCATGTTGATATTTCTCTTGCTGTTGTCGTTGCCGTTGTTGACGTTGCTGCTGCAGTTGGGGTTGTTGTCCTTGTTGCTGATGATAAAGATTATGGGGATGCAGGGTACCGGGACGATAGGAACGATGTTGGCGCTAGTGCTGATGATGTTTTCATGCCATGATACTTTCATGACGAACTCAAAAGACCACGTCTTCTGCAAAGCCCACGGTATGCAGCCTGAAACTGAGTACAGAGTGTCTTTCCTAACCGAGTCTGGTGCAGTCGCATCCGGAACTCGACGCAAGCTTCTAGGATCAGGCCTGACTCTACAGTATGGGTAGATCTTGCAAGCCTGGCTGACAAGACCTTGAACCAAGATGACAAAACAACATCGCAGGTCCCGCCAAGTTGCGTGCTCTGAGCATCGTCAAAGGGGTCCAAGGACTGCGACAGCTGAGGTTCAGCAGGCTTGTGCAGGACAAACATTCAGCGAAACGCAAGCTTGCAGGATGCTCTAACAACCCCGGCCTGATCAACCTCCGAGCTTGCGCCGTTCATTCGCAGTATACCTCGTGTGCGTGTGAGCTTGCAGCTGGATGTGGCCTTCTTACTTGAACGAATGAGCTTCCAGTCACCCATGTTAAGATGCAAAGCCGAGTCACGTTCTATAATGGCATCAGATGACCTGGCTGCCACAACATCTGCGTTTACCTTGCTAAGATCAGAGCCCCCGAACCTGCACGTCGACGACTCGGGTAGCTACAGGTAATATGATGGCTTCCAGCAATTTCGAGCATCTTGCAAACTTCTGGCATTAGCAAAGCAAGCATATCCAGGCATTCGGTGGATTGTCTTCAACGGTTATCGGAAAGGGGTGGAGCCCATCAAAAGTGTGAAGTGGAAAACAAAGCGGGCATCCAAGAAGCACCCAGGAGCTTGAAACCTATGCAAAAGTGATGTCCGATTGCACATAGATTGCCCCAGCCTGCCCCCTTTTTTAAGGACCGACGCTTAGGATTATGCATTTGGCAGGGACTCTGGCCTTAATACTTCGCCGTCGATAACGGCCACAGGAATCTGCCCGTTTGGCTGCACCGCAAGGAATTCCGGCGGCTTGTTGCCATAGCAGGCCATGTTGACCTAGGCCCAACATGACCCAATGGCATGCAGAAATACGACCATCTGCCCAGACCCGAAGTTGCAAGAGTGTCTACCTTGCGATGCCTATAACGCTCCGCAAAAAAGCTGAAAACTGTTCTGGCAAGCAAAGCGGCCCGCTTGACGTTGTAGGGAATCTGTTTCTCTTCAAGCAGAAGCCACACCTGCTCGACTGGGCTGTGCCTAAAAGCCTTAGCCGTACATGATAATTATGCTTAAACACTCCGCGTTGATAGCCTTAACAGTTGAACGATCCTTAAGGAATTAGGGGAACAACGAGCATGCCAGCCTTGTGGCAGTATGGACACCAAGATGCGGTATCTCGGTAGAGAGTCACGCGCTTGGCGGAGTCAGAATCCTGCACAGACCGTGAGGAAAAGGCTCTGGGAAACAGCAACTGCGCAAACGAACACACGGGCGACCACTGAAAGCCCAGCAACGAATGACCCTTCCTTCAACTACAAAGGGCTCATCTTGAACATCATCCGCCTTGTCGAAAACTCGGAGATTCGCCATTGCATTGGCAACCTGTCCCTTCGACAGCTTCGATCGGAACTCCTGCAAGGAGCCAGGACGCAAATGTTTTTGCAGGGCAAGGAGCAGGACGGGCGGAGAATCGTAAACCCAGGCTGGGAAAGGCAGTGATAGCTGAATCCGTGCCGCGAAAGCTTCTAACAACCCCCGCCCCTCCCCCACGTTGCACCATTACGCCACCACCGCCGCTGCCCCCGCATCACAATCATTAGTGTACTTCTGTATACTATTTATATTAGACGCATTGTTGTTATTGCTATTTTTTGTTTGTTATTCTCATTATTAGCCGTGTTATTCTTACAGAATAGGACGTCCATTTTTACCAGTATCATGATCCTTCTTCTGCCAGACTCCTTTTTTATGAGAGCAAGGTTTAGCGGCACGTCGTTGGATCAAACCACGAAATCCCCACCGCCACCATAATGTTCCCTGGAAGCGGTGGGAGGGGGTACGACCCCGCCGTCGTGGATGGAGGAGGGGCCCACCGGCTGAGGCAGCGGAGAGCGACTACGGAGAACTATCCATTGCACTCCGTTACAGGACCCGTTTCCATGGGAAGTTTCAGCGCAGCCGGCCTTCTCCTCTTTGGAGGACTTTGCCTCCAACGCGGCCTGAAGATCTGACCACGACGGCGCATGATCTTCGACTGCCTCGGCACTGCATCGCGGCAGAACGAAACAAGGCGAATAACTAAAATCTCTGATCTCCTTGCGCAGTCGAGCCGCCACGGCACCGCCGCCGCCGCCGCCAAAGAATCGCATGGGGACGCGGGATGGAGCTGCTGTCACAGTGCCTTTCCAAAGAGCACACTGCACCGAGGCGATCACTTGTTTAATGATTCTATGTGCAGAGAGCCAAAACAAGAGGATTGCCGGCCTCGTGGTCCCACCTGAGACAAGTAGGGGTGAAGTAGTGAAAATTAGGCATTCCAGCATTCCTGCAACTCGAGCTGTCTATCATAGGCCACAGCATGCTTTCCAGGTCGAGACACGTGGAAAGCTCGTGCCAAACTTTTCAAGAACTCTTCGCACAACACCCAAAACAAAGCACGGGCGTGAGGAAACGCTGAATCACGCTCCCAAGCTCAGCCAGGCCGCAAAGGCTTTGCGGACACCGAGAGCTGCAAGCAGCGTCACGAAGAAGCGGTGCCGAACCATGAAGGCGTCAGTGTTTACCAGCAACTCCCTCGATTGATAATTCTGAAAGCACGCTGACTTAGACGAATTTGATCAGGTTTGCACTGCATGTCTTTGGGTGACGTGGATACACTGTAGCAGCATCTGAACATACCTGAGGCTGCCAGGTTTGAGCAAAGATCATCAGATCACGTCCTTGCACCACGGCCGTGAACGACCGGAATTTTCCTGGAGCATTGGCTACAGGCTGGCTCGAAAGCAGAACGTCCAAGACAGCCCTCGACATCCAGGGTCGTCTTCTGATCGAAGCTCTGGAGCTCTCCTGTGCTTTCCGCGACAACGACCGTGCTATGCCTCGGGATTCCGGGGAAGAACACCCTTTCAAGCAACCCGTGCACTGCACATGCGATCGAGCCGGTTCGGACCCACAGCACCGCCTTCTTCTGCCGAGGAATTCTGCATCTCTGAGAAGTCCATGGTGAAGTCAAGTTCAACGTGCCAGGGGTACCTCTCCCAAAAGAAGGCCTCGGCACAACCTCCAAAGCACACTTCTCACCGAAGCTTCGCGGATTCATGGCCAACTTCAGCCCATGATGTCTGACTGTTCTGTATCTTCACTTCCTGGGTCCCATCTCCCTCTCTGCGCCTTCTTTCGGTGTCACGACCGGGTTCACCAGCACCGTTGGCTTCAGAGGCCGGTGCTCCTTGCAAGTCAAGTAGCTAAAAAGCGCTCAATGCTACGGAAGCCCTGTCCGGCCCGGCCCCCCGCGCTGCACTCCTCGCTGATGCGTGCACGTGTCGACAGGCGCTCGATTGCTTCCTCCGATTCGCCAATGGCCACCTAAAGAGGCAACATGCACTGCTTCCCTTACTCTACAAAGAGCATGACACTTCGCTCGTATGAATTGGAGCCCGCAGGCGACTTTTTACTCAGCAACACTAGCAAGAGCAACCCAACCCGGTCTTTGCTGACCACTTCGGATGAAGTTTGGTCGACAGGCCATCCACTTTTCCCGGCACGCAACCCGAAAGATAACCTCCGTACCTTTTTATGTACTCATCCATAGAGTGCAGAAGGAGGAGGAGGCCGCAGTTCGTCTCTGTTCCTGTCAGTGCTCACGGCCGTCCTTCTTACTCCTTGCCTTGTCGCCGTCGCCATTTGCATCATGTGGGGCCAACAATGAGGCCCACAACCAGCATCATGAGCGTTCGTGTGGATTGGGATGCTTCTTCGCTGGCTTACGAAACTTTGCGGCGCTCGTGGCACGAGCATTTGGTACCTGTAATCTGTAAACCTGCCTTTTCTGGGATCGTTTCTTGGACTTGAGCACGCGTTCCTGCTTCCTCATCCCACGAGACCCGCTGTCCGAGCGTTTACTAGCACCCACACGCACGACGGAAGTGGAGAACTGTCTGGACCTCAGCAGTCTCACAGGACCTGGCTCCAAAATGTCGGTGTCTCAGGCAAAGCACGGTGGCCACGGTTTTCTATGGATCCGACAGTTCGATCTGTGATTTTGACTCGAATAGTTGCATGTGAAATATGGCCCCGTGACTGGAACACTGCAGTGGTAGCCCATGATGACGAACAAATCCGCTTTTGTTTGAATGTGTGCTCTAGCGGCTCAGCACCCAGCCATACGAAGGTTCTTGCCGAACCTGAAAGCATGGCATCCAACTTCTGTGCAAAGAATTCCCCAACAGCACATGCGCACGAGACCGGCTACGACTCTAATTCATGCGCACTACTCACTACTCAGTTCTGCACTGTTTTGCACACGAAGAAGCAATGCAGACACATGCATATCGTGAAACGTAGCTGTCAGCAAGCAGGTACATGTTCGAATCATTTTTAGAATGCACCCAGAGTTGCTAGGCATCTGGCTGGGGTGCGGCAACACCCAGCGGATTGTCCCCGGCATCCAGGGCCTCCAGCAGAATCTACTTCCAGTGCAGTGCTGCTTTCTCTCCTTCTCTGGCAGTGGCTATGCAAAGGTGCTAGAATCTGCTAGAACATGATGTGATATAAACACTCAAGGTAAGTATCTACATTGACCCAAAATCCAAGTACTCCACGTCCCGAAGCTCTTTCGCTGCGGCTGCAACCTGCACACTGCACGCGACATGATCTCCCACCACATTTGCACAGACACAATGCCTTTCGGTAGCATGAATATAACTCATTAATGCATGGTGCGGAGGGCAGCAGTCTCGGAACAATCATGCCCGAATACCTCTGGTGCGGAGAAGTCACGGACTTCCTCGGCTTTCAAGCCTCCACATGGGATGTTAGAAAGATTGGACGTTGCCCTCTAGGAGGAGGTTCTGAGGCTGCCGCGCAGTATCAGGCTACCAACCAACAGCGCCGTCGGCTGGATGAAGCTGGGGAGAAATCCCTGCATAACATCTCACGATGTTGTATGACAACTAATTTGTCTGACATATTCCCCAGTCGGGGGTCTTTGGCGGGACACCCGTCGTCCTAAATCTCGAACCAGAAGCAAAGATCTAAGAATCTAAGCCCGCTGCCAGCAGCCCACGGCTGCCCCCACTGATCGCCGCTTGCAGCTCCTCATCCGTCAGCTGCGGCCTTCACTGTCAGAAAGAGAAACCTTTGGATTCAGCATTGCTTATAAGGCGCTATGCTTCAGAGCTTAGGGTCTAAAGCTTCTTCAGGTTGCGGCTTCAGGATTCACCGTTGCATTGGGTTCCTTGAAGGAAACTCGAATGTAGAGCAACCCCAACTGGGCCGGCAGACCGGCACCTACTAGTCCTGGGCAACTAGTCGCAAGCAAGCATCATTCATGCTCGTGGGTACGATGCTCTATCTATGGCAAGTTGCTATCCCACTCGTATCACTTGCTATTGCCAGTGAGCAACTCCCCAATAGCTTCCATGCTGGATTGCAAATTGGAGTTCCCCAAGCGCTTGACACACAACAAGATCCTGCGACGAAAATGCCTAGTGAAGAAGGCTTTTGCTGGCAAAGAACCTTGGAAGATATAGGTCAACCTAGTTTGTCGATGCACCTTGGTTTCGTTCTTTCGTTGTTTCTTTCTGTACGTACGAGTATGTATTTCTCGTTTCATTTCCTTCGCTCTGTGCTTTCTTTCCTTTCTTTCCGTCGTTCCTTGGTTCCGCCGCTTCCTTTCTTCCCTTCTGCCTTCCTTCTGTATGTCTGCTCTGTCCGTCCTCCCCAGCCCCAACCACCAACGAAAATGACCAAAAACACATTGGAAAAAATGCCATCCTTTCGGCAAGGTCTAGTCCTGTGAGAAAGATCAAAGCCCCCCGTCCCACATTTCCAGGTTCCCAGCAAGTCGCCCTGGTCACCTTTTCTTTGGGAACGGCTCATAATCCCCATCAACATAGACGTGAAGTCGACTGGCATGCATCCACCGCCCTCCAGCTCTCCAGCACTGAGCTTCTCAACATTCATCAAACCGTACTCTGCACCGCCACGGTGCTGTGTTGGACTCAAATGAACTGATGCTACATCAAGTTAACGTTTGCTCGAAAACAGCAACAACATCTGCCCGCATTCTTGTCGGGATTGACCTGCCGAGCCAGAGGACTTGCACATAGATGGCTTCTGTGCTGCAAACGTCCATGCCACCAAAAAACCACTCCAACCATCTACAATGTGTCAGAACCACCTGTTGAACGCTTGTGAAAGAAGTATTTTTGAAACTGCGAAACCTGAACTGCCGATTGAAAAAGATTCTATATACGGCATAGTCGGCACACATTCAGATACCAGGGAGTGCTGCCAACAATTGATGGCGATCTCCCGTTGTTACCCCGGCACCAAGAGGTCTTGAACATGGACAAAAAACTTCGATCTCGAGGACGGCGTGCAAAACATGGGTTGCTTGTGATTGTGGCCATGACCAGATGGTACTGATGCTGATGATGATGGTCATGATGATGGTGCTGATGATGGTGATGCTGATGCTGATGATGATGATGATGATGATGATGATGCGGATGATGATGATGATGATGATGATGATGGTGATGATGGTGATGGTGATGGTGATGGTGATGATGGTGATGATGGTGATGATG